GGGGGAGGGGGGGAGGGGGGGGGTAAGACGGGGAATATGCAGCAGAAGGTTTCGCTATGATGTTGGTGCAGCAGGAATTGGGGAGGAGGCATATTTTGCACCCTTACCAATGTATACTTGTCAAGATAATGAGCGGGCTTGGTGGCCATGTTCAACAATGCGAAGTCGCTGTGGCAGACTGTGGAAGCACATGCGTCAGCCCGGCTATCGCATCCACTCTATGTCTCAAAGCCCCCTCGTATATCATCCGTCGATATTGATAGAGATCTTGATGAAAACAACAGTCGGACCCATTCTCACCTCCCGCAGCATGGATCTTGACCAGTAGGCCATCCTCAGCCGGCGCAGGCACAGGCACCTCGACACGGATCTATTTCGTCTCTCTATCTTGTCAGTACTGTGTATGTGCAGGGGTATGACAACTGGAGCAGACTTGAACCAAAAAAAACTCGGGATATGTCCTCCAGACTCAAGACATAAACATGAATAGACAACGTCAGGGGCAAAGACGAAGAAGAAAAGAACGGGCGACAACACACCGGCTCGGTGCTGCCGAAATGCTTCTGCCACGCCAGCATTGTCTTTGGGATTTCTTTGGCCGACATGTTTTTTGGGGGGGGGGGGGGGGGGGGTCGTGCTCGGTTGTTCGTGTAGGAGTGACGGCAAGTCGTGCCCAAACCTAGCTACCTACTTCCGTAGACACAAGTAACAACGACAAGCGTTGAGAGTTAATTAATCTCAACTCGCAACGACTTTCGATACTCGTCCCTCGCCCACGAGAACGAGCGAACGTGGCAAATGGACAGCTGAGAGTCTGACTACCTAATGTTGATATACACTCCCGCTCGCCGCCGAGCCCGGACATACCGAGGCCTTGGTGGAAAGTTTGCGATACAGGACCAGAGTACATAATAGCGTGCAGGGCATGTGGACTGTCTGACTGTAATTAAGAGGGTTGGAGAATAACCTTATTCTCTCCTAGCACCAGAGATTATTGAGGTACAAAGAGTGGCTTGTGGCATATACTGCAAACTAACAACAGTAGATACGAATAGGAATTGGTATATGTTTGATGTCAAAGAATCAAGATCATCTATGTGAAAAAAATGACAAGTGGTTGAGTTTGCGGAGACGTCAATGTCCGATGCCCGTATGCTGTTTCGTTGATTCTTCGATCTACCGATGAAGGTATAGATTTTCATGTACCTCGCATATGTATACGTACCGGGTACTCGGAGAAAGAAACACTATGGAGCAGTAGGTAGCGAGCCGATGTCAACCACAGTCTGACTAGAAATGGCGATGAGGAGCGATTCACCGATGACTCCAAGGTGACCATTGTTAGACATGACGGCACCCCTATCCTTATCAATCAACCCCAGAACATATAAGAGGGAAGAATCAAGGAAACCCCCTCCCGTCTTACATTACATCTCTTTCATTCCGCCGAGGCAGACATGACTACCCTACCCCATTCTACAGCCTTCAGTGAATGTGTCAGCCAACTCGACTCGGGCATTACCCGGTATGCAATGCGTCGGCCACCAGGCCACCTATTCCCATGTGTGCCCCGTATTGCTCCCTCAGCTTTCCTCAGTCTTCCTCAGTCATGAGACTCATTACAGGTACCTCTCTATGATTCCCGGTTGGAGTAAGCCGCTCCCAATCATCGATCCTGGCCAACATAACCATGCCTTGCTCGTACACTCCCCCGAGTGACTGTCTACTGCCCCGGAAAACGTCCCATCCCACAACATGGACCCTCGGATTTTTTTCCCCATGCGGCAGATTCTTGCTGAATATTGCCCGTCATCTGAGCATACTTCCACTGCTGGAAATATCCCAGTGTCCACGGCCCTGGTGTGTGAACGCTCCCTAGTCCCCCAAAAGCTCCGTCCCCATAGTACCCTCCATCATTCGCCGGCGTGAATGCGAATTCCATGGTGTTGTGCCATGCTTGCTTCTCATTGCTGGTCCTGGTGAAACCCCATAAGGGGGCAAAAAGCGTCGGCAGGTCATTGGCATCATGGTACAAACGTGCGGTGACGAAATCCGTCCACCAGATACGAGAAGGACGGCGAGTCTTGCAATGGATCAGAGGCGAGAAAGTGCTTCAACGTCGCGTCACGCACATCTTCGGCAAGTCATGCGAGTTGCTGCCCCAACGGAGCGCCCGTCACCTGGGTAATCACTTTCGCAAGCCGAGAAAGCGTGTGCCAAAACAGGACGTGACTGGAGAAGTGGAATGGATATTTTACCAGATCATCACCTGGAGTCTCGTCTGGCGGGAAGAGTCCAGCCAAAGGATCTCTCTTTGACTCAAGGAGGTCCAGGACTTGAGACACGGCATCTGACGCCAGAATTTCTTCCACGAATGGCTGCTCCCCTGGAAAGGTCTCCCGGAAGTCGCAGACCTCCAGGAGCGGATAGCACTGTTGGTCCAACTGAAAGACCGGCCCATCCCTGGGACGGCCTGTGGTGAGATATGATCGATGCTAGAAGTGGTGAGGTCGTTGTGCGTGCTGAAAGATTCAAATCAGATGTCCCTTTGTCGTGGCCCTGATCTCTTCAGAGTAGGCGGCGCAGGTCTTACCAATTGATAATCTATCAAGGTTCCGATATACTTGGGTCAAGAAGAAAATCTGCCAACTTTTCCATGTCAGCAGCGACCACCAGGACTCACTAGTACTCACTAGTTGTCCCTCATCCAACCGAGCGGTAAAGCGACATGATCTGTGAGGAGGCAAACGGCATGCTTGATAGGCGACAGCGGGACATATGATGATCGAACTTACCATGAGCTTCTTTCATGGCTCGAAAGAGACAATCTCCAGCAAAAGTTCGACTTTCCGTGTCGCTTTGGATGAATGTCCCAACGCCAGCCGAGTACTGTGGGAAAGGGTGTCTGGATTCAGCTGTGCGACGAGGGTCGCTCTCTGCACGACGCCATGTCGCATTATCGATCACGGCCAGTGCACCGCGCTCATCACCAACACTGGCTTTGTCCTGGCTTATGCGGACGAAATGGCTCACCGTCACGTGCTGTCAGCCAGCTTGTGATATCCTTGGATGATCGATTGGCTTATGACTGGAGCTCATTGCCCGATACCTGAAATGGTCAGAGCGTCAATGGGAACAGGCATTGCTGTAATGCCTTGTCCACACGATATATACTGACCTGATTTCCTCCAGCTCTAATGTCCCAAATGGCTGCATTGACTCAACACCTTTTACAATGGCGTCACCTCGCAATCCCATCGATCGTTTTCTTGAGGGGATCAACACCGCAGACCTCGAACTCATGTTGAATGCTTTTGCACCGGATGCTGAGGTCATCGACGACGGAAAGAGTTTCACTGGAGATGCTATTATAGCCTTGTGCGAACATGGAATTATAGGTCACCAGGCACGAGTCAAAGTGCTGGACCAAACGGTTCGAAATGATGGCAGGACACAAACCCACATCATGATGGATGGCGATTTTGGCAAGGAGTTCGGCATCCACGAACCATTCGATTTGTTCCTTGTCGCCACAGTGAAGGGTGACAACATAATACATCTCGACATGGGTGATGTAGATCCTGATAAACCAACAATGCGGGCGGTCTACGCGTCAGTGGCCAGCCCACAGGATCCATTGTCATCGGTCCGAATCGGTCAAAGGCATCGTCCAGAGTCAAGGGAAGGATGGGTCCGAGTCAAGATGCAGGCAGTGGGTCTGAACTTTCACGACATCTTCACATTACGAGGAATGCTGATGCATGAAACCCGATACCCAATGATTCTGGGTAACGAGGGTGCCGGATTGCTCGAGGATGGAACTGAGGTTGCCGTCTATCCAGTCATGGGTGATCCTGATTGGAAAGGGAATGAGACACTCGATCCAAAAAGACACGTATTCGGCGAAGTTGTCCAAGGAACCCTTGCCGAGTACGCTATGATTCCCACAAGAAACGCCGTGCCTAGGCCCAAAGGACTAGATGCGAAGTCGGCAAGCGTGATGGGCATTGCCTGGTTGACAGCTTATCGCATGTTGTTCACCCAGGCAAAAATCAGAGCCGGTCAAACCATTCTGGTGCAAGGGTCATCTGGTGGTAAGTACCGAACCGAACAATCTGGAGTTGCCTCGGTTATATCATGCGAGATGGTAACTAACATATTGAAAATATGCAGGGGTGACGACAGCGCTCATTCAGCTGGGCTCTGCCGCCGGCTTCCGTGTATGGACAACAGGCCGGACGAAGGCGAAACGCGAACTGGCCAGATCGCTTGGTGCAGAGAGTACTTTCGAGCCTGGGGCGAAACTGCCATATCTTGTTGATGCCGCGTTCGACACATCGGGAGCGTCAACAATTTCACATTCTTTGGCCTCTGTGAAGCCAGGTGGGACGATTGTGTCGTGTGGGAGACATTCAGACAGCGCCTCGCCCAACATCTCGATCGACTTGTTGCATTTGATGGTGAACCAGATTAACTTGGTAGGGGTCTACACGGGAACACGGGAGGAATTCGTCAACCTACTGGATTTTGTGACCACCTCTGGCATCAAGCCGCATATTGGCAAAGTCCTGCCTTTGGCGGAGGCTGCTGATGGACTGAAGGAGATCTGGCAAGGCAAAACAAATGGGAAAGTTGTCGTTCAGATTTGAGCAAAGGAGGAGCAACGCCAAGACTTATCAACGGAGCCTGCCGGGTCTAGCACTTGAACTAGCCCCTAAATGATATAGCGTAATAGCTTATCTGCTTCCACTCGTCGCTTATCTCCTGAAAGTCTTCACCGACATTGTCCGTTGAGGTCACACCGACAGTCAAACGAGGCGTGCACTAGTGGTCTATTGTTCATACAAGCCCTCACAACATCCACACTTGCGTGTTGTTTCTTCCAAGCACCTTTACATCCTCAGCAGCCTATTCCTATGGCGCTATGGACCGGCTTTCCTGTCGGTGCTGGGTCGAAGATGGAGGAGACATTCACGGTGCCTCGGAAGCCACTTAAATGCAGAGCAAGGAGCCGCGACTTTGAGCGAAAACTCTCGAGCAGATTCATCATTCCCGAGGAGGTATAGTTGTGTCCGCATGGTGTTTTGTGGTGGGAGATCTGACGTCTGCAGATGCTGGAGAGTGTCAACTCCCAGTACAAGGGCCAGTCCGTCCTCCTCATGATGCCCTATGAGATTCTTCTCGAGATATACAACGCTCTAGCCCACGCACCGTCTCAGATCACACTTTCACTATCCTGCAAACGCCTGGCCATGGTGGCACGAGATGTTCAGTTATACCTCTCGCCCACCTCGCCAAAATATGCGGGGTTTCTCCCCCGGAGTGTTTTTGATGTCCCGGAGCTCATGACCCAGTTGAAGCCTTGGATGCCTGCTGAATTGCGTCTATGTAACCACTGCCTCACTAACAGACCTCGCCGTGAGGAATATTGGGATACCGTTATTGGCTGCGAAATCAGCAACTTCTGGGTGCAGAAGACCGGTTGGAACTTTCACAATGCCAGCTGGCACAAGCAGGTCCACGACATCTGTCCCGCATGTCATGCCTCCTGTACTCTGAGCGACTACGTTGATTGTGACGGTTGTCGAGCGCTCGGACGCCTGGGTGACGTGGACTGGACGAGAGTATCCGACTCCTGGAGAAGGAGGACAGAAGAGGAACTACGAGCTGGAGTATTCGCAACTGGGCCTGGATGACGCAGAACACCTGGCACATAGTCCGACACTGCTCCTTCGCTTGACCCTCTCCTGCATTGGATCAACCGACGTCAACGATATCCCTCCCTGTTTCATATGATCTATGCCCAGGGACCAGGTCGTCATTTCGATTGCGGCGGCCACCTTTCTCAAACTCCCGATCTGTCCAAACACATTGAGAATCAGTTGCAAAGAGATATGCCATCGGTCAAAAGGAGTGGAAGGCGAGATTTACAAAGGTTGTGAGAGAAATCCTGTCTTTCCGATGACCACCTGCTCGGGCCCCCTCACTCACAAAACCGTTTACTCAAATGCACGACCTTTGAGGCCTTTTCAGGTGGACCAAGCTGTTCTTGGCAGAAAGGTCACCAGACACGGGTTGGTCGGTATTGCGTTCGTCCTGTCTCAAGGTCTCAAACGAAGTGAGTAGCGAAACACTGTGCGATACTTGATAGCGCAAGATTGTTCCCTTGAAATGAGCCGAATAACGGCCTCGTCCGACAGCTTCTCGTGCGCTGTGTGAAGTTGTGGGAAGCTCGTCGGGGAGTTATATCGATTGAACAACACATGCATTTCGACTCGTTGGGATGCTGGATACTCAGGGGGGGAGAATGCGATGATCCTCTGGTTTGTGATGGCATTTCAGCCCCCTTTTAGGCCCACCAATTGACACAGCTGAGGCTGCAACAAGCGAATGATTGTTGAGATGACCCGCCAAATTACTAATGTGATCGCGTCGAGGTTAGCTTCCCGACTGAGAGTGTACTCCTGTCTAGCTCGGTGGAGCGTTGGGGCAATGCTCTCATATTGGAAAGCGCCTGTCCCACAGGCCTTTTCGTCAGCAACACAAACGGTTTCAAGCACCTTGAAAGAGATGATTGCCGTTCCCGCGGACACTTGCAGTGATGGACGAATTTCGACAGTCCGAGTGGAGGCGCCTGGTAGGGGGAGTGATTGGAGCAGAGCACCAACCAGGCTCGAGGGTACCTCCTTTGACAACAACGACGGCCCATAAGAGGAGAATACTTAAGTGGAAGATATCGACCTGAATCATCTCGTACAACAACCTCAGCTCCCGCCTTTCTCCGAGTTCTGCAACATCTGAGTCCCCCGAGTAACATCAGCTTGATCGCCAGGATGAAATACATCTCAGTGCTAGTTGTGCCTACACTGGCAGCATTCGTTCGTGCTCAATCTGCACCGAACTTTCAAGTTCAAGTCGACACCAATCTGCGTGTCGACTTTCTCAGCAGTTCGACAAGCGTTGCCCCAGCCGGCGTTCTGCTACCCAAGGACGGTAAGGACTTTGGTCAGACCTGATATCGTACTACTTATTAACGTATTCAGACGTTCTCGATGGGCCAACGGTATATGGTCCGGCAAACGCCACGGAAGAAGCCACCTATATACTCTTCGTGGTCGACGAGGATGTCAATACAGGAAACGGTCCGCGAGTTCAGTTACTCCACTACTTCCAACCCAACCTTGTTGGCATCAACCATGAATTATCCATCCAGCCGGGGGCGCGGAATGCCACAACGGCGGTCGGTGCGGAGTATTTTACTCCCTCGCCACCTGGAGGAGATGGACCACACAGATACACATTGCTGCTCTATCCTCAGCCAGAGGGATTCACCGTGCCGCAGGCATACATCTCCTTCAGTCCACCTGTCGACACGAATGCAAGATACCCTTTCAATATGTCTGGTTTCGCTGCTGCTGCCGGTCTGGGACAGCCAATTGCAGCAAACTGGTTCCGTGTTGTGAATGACACTAGTTCGACCTCGACATCCTCAAGCTCTACCAGTTCAGCCACCGAGAGTGCTGCTACAACATCAGTTGAAACGGGCACGGTCGCTTCGACTCCGACCTCCACTGGTGCGAGTACAAGTGCTAGTGCAAGTGCTAGTACAGCAGCCAATTCGGCAGCAGGACTAGATGAGGTGCGTGCTGGTGCAAGAGAATTGACCATGGGGCTTGCTATGGGCATCGCTGGTGCATGGTTGTGGATGCTGTAATTGGCCGAGACTATTAGGAGACGGTGCACTGCTAGTGATCAGCCTCTCTGCAACTGTCTACTCCAACATATGCGGAGACAGAGGGCGTGCGACCGAGACAGGGACTGAGTCTGGAGGAATCGATAGAAGTTCTCTTGTTCGATTTGATATCGAAGGGTTTTGGGGGGCGCGTGACTGTTTATTTTTTCCAACTATATGTACACAATATCGAGGAGTGTCTTCCCTTGAGAGTTCTATCCAACTGTGTCAGACTGTCCCCAGCGTATACTGATGCAGCACTGATGCAGCCTTGATGCAGCCTTGTCGGGCACCTGCCCGTTCCATTCCCGGCTAAACCTTCTTCCGAATTCCGCAGGTTCGGCGCCCATGGCGAACCTCGGCATCCAAATTCCTGGATGGCGACTTTGAATTGCTCATCAAACCACTACTACCACTACTACCACTACTGGGTGACTACTACCACCACCACCACTTACCCTACGTCAAAGCGCTCGAGGGATTGTCCTCGTCTGCAGCCGAGAGCGAACAATCCCCGATCTTTATCCTGTCTTCTTATCCCATCTTATTTAGACATGACCTTCCCCCCAACACAGTGACCTCTGGTCTTGACTTTCAACCCCCCACTCGCCCACCATGGCAGACGCTCTGTGCGGGCCCTCCAACCCGCTCCAGAACTTACAAAAGCACACCCAGGTAGATCGGACGCTGCAGCAAGATCGTCTTGTCGGTAACAGACAGTCGCCAGGGCAGGTGAGTTGAAATCCCCACATCTCTTCTCGGTTCACCATTGACGTGTGATATCTGTAGGGCTTCCGCACTGCCGACCCTCGAGCAGGATCACTCGACGCCGAGTTTCACGCCTTCGAGACCTCCACGCCGCACCCATTCCAGTTCCAGCAACCAGACCTCTTTCACCCCCAGCGCCATGCTTCTCCTGCGGCGGCAGGGTGGGCTGCCGACTTTCAACAGCTCTCGATATCCCAGCAGCCCGTGCCAGCGGGACAGTTTCGTACTGAGGCGCCGCTAATCAGGTCTACAACGCTCGGCGGCTGGCAACAGGAGTTTATGCGCCAGCGGTCGGGAGCCGGTACTCCAGTTGCACAAGGCAAACAAGCCGTTCGCGATAGTCCACAGTTGAGCGGCGGCGGCCAGTTCCAACAGCCGATGATGGATTATACCCAGCCTATGTTCCAATCGTACTCTGGCGGTTTCCAGCAAGAACCGCAGATGCAACAGTCTACAATGATGTCTATGGAACGACATGTCCAAGTCTCGGACGTGGATTTCGAAGCCGCGTTTGCGGACGCATTCGCCCATGCTCAAGAGATGGACCAACAACGTGCTTCCTCAGGACTTTCTTCAGACCTCAATGCCATGATCTCTGAGATGCAGCGACCGGACGGAGGAGAAACTGTGCGCATAGGCAGCGACGCCATCGCTTATCGCGAGAAAACAGAGCGTACGGCAGAAACAGACACGCGTGACGCAGATGAATTGGCTCGCACCGCAGGCCAGCTTCTTACGAGCGTATCACACGACAACAGCGACAAATTCCAAAACAGTCAGTTCCTGCAGCTGATGCGGAAAATCAGGGATCGAGAGGTCGAGGTACAGGGCGACGAACTTCAAGAGACGGGCAGATCAACGTCCAAATCGACGCCAGGACCGACACAAGAAGCTACGAACCAACAGTCGTCGCACTTTGAGTTCCCAGACATGGACGCCGTCTATGCCCCCACGAACACGAGCGATGCCTGGGCAGACTCGGAACTTGACCAGAACGCCCAGCACCGATACGCCGGGTCGTGGGACTACCCCCCGGCCAGCGCACCGCAGTGGAAGGCTGCGCCGGAAGTGACGGCGCACGACCCCCAGGTGCTCCAACGGTCGCCATACACGACATACGGGTTTGACGATGACCAGTATTCTGCGGAATATTCTCAGCCGCAATCGCAATTCGAGGCCCTTCACCCAGGCGGGAAATACTACCCGGACCAATCTCCGCGCCTTCAACGAGCAGCCCTCGACGCCGCAACTGCAGGAGAAGCCGAGATGAGCGGTGCCGTCCAACCTCCTGTCGAGGGTGGAAGCAGCAAAGACGCCCAGGGCGGCGGTGACGGGTCGAAACGGATCTCGGCCAGCGACTTTGACTACCTAGATTCCACCTGGTTCAATTTCCACAGGTGAAGAATCATTTGTCGCGTTGTTCCGGCCATGGCTTTTTCCGGCTTTTCCGACTTTTCCGACCTTTCGCTCCCTCTCCACCCCCCAACGGGTCATCCTCCCTGAGACAACATTATGTCCTAATCCTATTCCTATTCCGTTTCTATTTCCGTCCCCCTGGCGCACCCCGCGGCCAGCAATCGAGCCTTGTTCAGCGGAATTAAATGTGTACGTCCATGATGGAATACACAGACCCACACACAAAGCGTGGTCCATTATGACCCACTCACTCACCCACCCACCCACCAGGTCTGCCACACACGCGGAGTGCTTGTACAGATAATTTTCCTTTCGGTTGGTCAGGGGATCATCGAGAGATAGATAAGAGAGGGAGGGGGAGGAGGAGGAGCAAGATGAGCCATGCTCGGATTCGATCTAGGTCATTCAGTCAGTCATCTCAGTCCTGTGCTTTTCGTTCGAGTCGTGCGTTTCTTGGAAAGAGAAAAACACAAATCGCTCCAACCTCGAGCTTCAGGGGCGGGGGCCTTCTTGATTCCACGGGATGGGGCCCTGCTCCTACCGCTGCTGCTGCTGCTGCAGTCACCGACGAATAATGAAGGGACTGGAAAGTCAAGAACCGAAAATTGAATAAAATAGAAAACAATGCATCATCAGCAGTGGGCGAGATGGTGTAATGAAAACCTATTCGCATAACTAATTCAGTTCAGTTCATTCCCAATTCGTCTGTCCCTAGACTTGGCTGCCTTCGCTCCCGTTCTGCTTTGTCAATCCAAATGTATCAATCATGCGCCTTCGTGCTGTACTGCTTACCGAATCTATCATTTCGTCATCAAGGATATGGACACCCGGCCTAATTCTCCAGGAGCATTGTCTCATCGCCTAGAACAAACGCCCCGGTCCCCGTTCAATCCGTCCCGCGGCGTAACCATCGACGCCTGCGACTCGCCACGTACATACATCTCGCGTCTTGTCAAAATCAAACATGATTGAATAGATATCGGACCCAACTTCAACCGCCCATGGCCGCCGCGGCCGCTGCACCTGCGTCTCCCTCGGAAATGACCCAAAGCAACGACCAGTTCAGGACGGCAATGCTCGCCATAACCCACCAAACGGCGCCCACACAGTTTCCGCCCAATCCCATCCCCAATCCCCATCCTCCGAGGGTAGGTCCCAGAGTCCTTGCCCCAGAAGAGACACTCTGCGCAAACCCATGAATTGTGCCTAATACGCTCGGGTGCGGTGTACAATTATTGATAAGAATTGTCGAGCCAGGCAGAGCGAAGGTGCGGGCTATGACTTGGAAAGCCAACACCACCGTGAGCGCGGGCCAAACCAAGAATGCTTTGTTGGGGATAAGGGCCAGATATGGCATGATGAGATATGCGAGGACGGAAAAGGGAAGAAACCATCTGTAGCTCGGCAAGGTGCCCAGTTTCGAGTTGAGGGATGGGTAGAGGAGGATCTGGAGAGGGAACCCGATGATGCCAATGATGGCAGTGGCAAGACCGACGCGGTCAGAGCTGAGGCCGAGGCCACCAGAGAAGAGAAACGGCAATCTTGCGTGGGTGTTGTCTGACCGGGGTGCTGGGAGGAACAGGAAGACCAACGCATTGAAAGCCGACACATGCATGGCCAGGAGGTGGTGGGCAAGCAGAGTAAGGACGACATTCTTTGTGAAGATTTGCCGGAATGATAGATTTGGTTTCCAGGAAGCCGGTTTGGTGCCCGTGGGCGTTGCGCCTGGAGCCCTTGAGGACTCGGGGTCTCTGTCTTGCGGCGACAGATCGTCTTCATCGATATCCTGCAGCTCGACTTGATTGCCAATTTCAGAGTATTCATATTCCTGCTTGCCACGACGGAACAGGACCCGGGCCAGATACTTGCCTAGCTTTCGGCCATAATCCGGCCGGTCTTTCAACGCGACATGGGTTTCGTCCAAACCCAACACGAGGAGGAGAGCAGAGGCCAGGATGAACATGGAGCTCACCACGTTTGGGAGAGCGTAGGGGAAGGCTGTCATCCAGCCGACTCCATCCTTGCCACCAATGAAAGAATCTGGTCCAAAGACAGCAGGAAACGAGGATATTGGGTCTGCAAGGAAGCCACCCAGGATCGGGCCGATAACGACACCTGGGAGGTATTTAGCCAGGAGCCAATATCGAGCTGGTTCATCTCACTTACCAATATTGAAACACATGGGCAAAAGAAGGAATGCCCTCGACTGGTATCTGCCCGATTCAGTTAGATCATGGAATTCTCGAGGGAGAGTGAAGACAGAAGAGGTACTTTTTCTCTTTGATAATCTCGCTGATCATGGTTCTCATGACGCCCACATTTCCATTGAGACAGCCAGCACATGCTCGGAAGAACAGTGCCTGGGCAAAGGACTTTGAGAAGCCCACGCCAATACAACTGACACAAGTACCAAACAACCCTACCAGCAAGACTCGTTTGCGACCAATCCAAGGCGTATCAGCCGCTCGTCCCCACCAGACGGCTGTCACAAACTGCGCGGCTGCAAACGAAGCAGTGAGCATACCACCTTGACTTGCGATCGTGCTATCTGGAAGATTTGGGTCGAACGATCGAAGCTGGTAGAACAAGTATGCCGCAAGAGACCGTTCCGTCAATGGCTCGGAGAGTCGAGCAAAGGTCAGAACGGCCAATTGTCCCTTCTTAGGCAACGACATCCATGTCACCGGTCGATCTTTGTCGGATCTGTCTGGCTGTCCATGAGCGGCATTCTCGCTCGCTATGGGGTCTTCCTCTTCGTCTATAAATGAAGGTCGGCGAGCCGTGGAAGAGATCCCTGGGACCAGGCTCGGTCTGGCTGGGTGTTTGGTGGAGGGGCTGGCTGAAGCATGCTCCAGAAGGTCATTCTTGCCATCGAATTTCTCAAAATACTCTGTGCTTGAATTGGCTCCGTCGAGTGACAACGCCACATCTGCAAAGTGGGTATTGCTGCCCTCTACATTTTGCCTGGCCCGGGCGTCAGGAAGATGCAGCGGCGGTGAGGGCATTCGTTGGGGTCGGTTTCGGAGGTTATCATGTGGAGCACAGACTCGCCAATCTGGAAGCTTGTACGTGGTGCAAAAGGCTAAGAGATACACGACTAAGTCGCAGAGCAATACAACTAGTCAGCACAAGATATGGTCAGCAAGTAACGTGCAAAATGTCGACTAAAACAAAAGTGTGAGGAAACTGCCTTATACAAAAAGTGAAGATGACGAAGGCAAGACGCGAAGACGGCAACTAATTGCGTGCAAGTGCGAGTCGAGGCACTTTTTTCATGCCGCTCCACCCGACGGGAAGCGGCCGACGAGGCTGAACGGGCGAGGCTGAGATGGTGAGGCTGCACTGACGAGGCTGCACTGGCAAGGCTGGCGATCCGCAAGGCTCTGGAGACTATGTGCTCCCCTTTAAACGACCACAGATATCTGGGCTGTGGTTCTGTGGTCAATGTTCAATTCATGTCAGAGATTTCTTCTCTGCCCAAGTCACAAATATCCTACCAAGTCACCTCCACCACACCAATTCCTACCAAATCACTTATAACCATAACCTTTCCAACAAGCGGGGCTTTCTTTCATTACATATGTCCATCTTTCACCCCCTTAGATCATCAACAAGTTCACCAATCACATGTCATCGTCCAATCTGTCCTCTCATTCATCGCCAACTTCCTCCGGTCTGTCATCCTTGTATCTTTCAAACCTCTGTTGCCAGTACTGCTGGTCCTCCAAGCTCATGCCTAAAAATTCCCCACAGAATGCGCTCATGCTCTCATAAGGCCACTGAGAAGGGTATTTCTCGCATTCCCCCTTCGCGAAAGAGCTCTGCACGTCATCTGTTGGATTGGTGGGACCAGACGGCATTGTCCTCTGTGCATTCTTTTCCGCCACACGTACAACTCTTTCCAAAACCGTCACCCATCGATTCAACACTTCTGCGCTCATCGTGCAAGCATGCTGGCGAAATTCCACTGTCGGCTTAATCTGTTTCCAAGTCGTGTTGTTGCGTGCTAGATTGACAAGATTCGCAAAATTGTACATATATCCCCTGTGTGGATTGCCGTGTTCATCGTTTGGTTGTAAGAGGGCCACCAGGTCAAAAATGTTGCCGTCTTGTTTGAAGATGGCGTCTCTGATCGATTCGGGGGAGTATTGGATGGACCTCTCTGATAATTGCTTCCGTAGATACCGAGCGTTGGAGCTGACATTATCGGCTCCGGTGTACTTGGCCTCGAAAGCGAGAACCACTCGTTCGTTGCACTCCTCTAACTCTTCTTCTGATTGCTCGGGTGGTGGTTCGTAGGGGGCGTCGGGATCAAAGACTTCGTCGTCGATTGAGCCTTCATCTTCCACATCTTCGGAGGCTGACTCCAAAAGTTGAATGCCGCAGCGACTTCGAGGGTGACACTTCGACAAAAGATCTTCGTGTAGGACAAGGATGTATGCCAAATGCTGAAGCAACAGGATGGGGATATCCTTCGCACTCGAGAAATTGAATCCGATATGCACATGAGCACTAGCCCAGACAGATTCAAGAATTGAAGTCTCCTTCGAAATTAGACCTCCAAGATATTTTTCGATTTGAGAGAAAGCTTCCCTTTTCCTCTCAAGTTCAAACACCGGCGAGATCATCTCCACTCCATAGCTATCCCATTTCGAAACATCATCCTCGGTGACTCCTTGAGAAATCAGATGTTCCCGTAGTTGACTTCGAAGCGCTCCAACAACAGTATGATCGTTTGTCAAAGTCCATTCTGTGTAGTCTATTAGACTCGTTCGAAGTAAGGCTCTTTCGTCCGTGGAATTGTGGTTTGGCAGGGTGATCTTCGAAGCCTCATGAGAGTCTCGGTTGCGTGGGTCAGGTTCTACCCATCCCACAACATTGGAAAGAAGCCCCTGTTTGTCAAGGCGGTCCTGAGCAATGAGGAGTGGTTCCGCGATGTATCGTCATACCCATTGCTTTCCATTGCGTACTCTGTTGAAAAACATGCCCTTGTGGAGTTTCGAGTTGCACACTATGTCCGTCTCTGGAACGTGTAGTGCCCATGACGGGTGCCTCCATCGGCATTCGTAGGAAGGATTCGTGCCAATATGGTCGTGTTCGATCAGAGAGCGATGTTCGTAATCCGCCAGGGTTTTGATGATGTCGGCGTCCAAATTGTATTCTGATATGATAGATTCCAGTAGGTCTTCTCTGAAAGCCAGAACGAATTCAAGCTCAATGCCAAAGTGTGTAGCACGGATCGTGGCGTCGGCGTTGCCTATACAGGGGTCAGTCGGACCAGATATCGACTTTTCGAAATATGACTGAAATGGAGTGCGTTTGTTTCGCGTCGACTTGATTCCCGGATCGAGGCAGCTGCTTGGATATTGCGATCCATCGGGATTTGTTAAGCTACCCATGCTGTGCGTTAGAATTCTGAATAGCGGTATGATGGCGGAGGAGAGCCCGCCTTGTCTGCCTTCAAGCTCGATAGTTAGAAAAGAGTGTCCCTCTCAAGTTGAACGACCTCGAGAATTCTCCCCTCAGAAGAGAGAGGCGACGCTTCCGTCTGTGCGGTCGTGTGCAGCTGCAGCCGTGTTGCCACACTGAGTGCGCCCATTGTTCGAACCACGACCCATTGGCTGTTTGCGGCGGTGCCATGGTTCTAGACCCGCAAGGGAAGCGATCCGTACAAGTATGTGCTGAACCAAAAGATGTGAAAGTATATTATCGGACCAAAAAGTCTTTTCTCGACCAAACTTACATATTTGTTGTGGTAGAGTTGAATTCTTCACTTTGGTGCGCTCGGACCATAGCATCCGTCCTGCAGCCCCTATTGTGCAAGTAATAGAGGCAGTGGTCCATTTTTCAGAGCCAAATTTGCAAGCTGCCTTTCTTCGGCGGCACTAGCCAGAATCCATCTGAGACGTGTGTTCTGGGTGTGGTTGTCATCTATCGGCGTGATTCTACCGTCTGAACAGATCTCCAGGAAGTAGGGGGTTGAAGTTGGAGTGCTGAACCTGGGTCAGCGCAATGAACTGCGGACCGTGGAAAATGGTAAACATGCCGTTCCTGGAGAACGACGGCGAGGATGTATTCTACATCCCCTGGTGGAATACATGGGAGGAACAAGTCAGATCAATGATCAAAACATGACATGCTGCATATCGAGCCTTGGGGTGATCATAGGGCGGCGTCACTTTCCTTCCCTAATGGGGTGGATCCCAAGTAGTTTTCCCAAACCTTGGGGATTGGCAGCTTTTTGCTGGAAAACTGACCTTTACAGACCTTGACGTTCAGCGCATTTGCATCACCCACCAAAGAGTGCCATACTCTCCTTGACCTTCCAGCACTCTTGTTGCCATTTCGCGAAAACGATAGCCCTACCAGCGTAGCACGATCGCCGGCAGCAAGTCCACCCCAGTTCGACTGATCAGACCTCAATTCTTCTTACCTACAGTACTTCCTCACACCCGTTTTCGCTCAGAGGTTGCAGCACGAAACCGTTCTCGAAATGTCCCTTGTACACCTCGCAAACACCTGCTCCCATCTTCAGAATGCCTCGCGCGCTCGCTTAGGTCTGACTTCCATCCCGGACACAAAATTCCACCTGAAACTTATGCTCGCACTACAAAACTCGGGCTTCATATCAACCGTTGTACGCGGAGGCCCAACACCACCCCCGGCACACAATCTATTATCTCATCCTTCCTCGTCCGACCCATCACACCCTGTTGAACCCGTCACGCGGCACAACGTTGCCTCACGTCGTCTGTGGCTGGGCCTAAAATACTGGAACTCGGAGCCAGTGATCGAGAAGATGGAGCTTGTTTCTAAGCCGACGAGGCGGATATGGATGGACGTGGCAGGCTTAAGGAAACTTGTGTTGGGGCAAAAGAGCGGATATGTCAAGGGCATGACGCGCCCAGGGGAGTGCATGTACGTCAGCACGGACGCTGGGATTATGGAGGCAAGGGAGTGCGTGGAACGCAAGATTGGAGGGATGCTGATTTGCCGGGTGCGATAATAACCACGGCCGAAGAGAACATCGGTGTGGTTGACTGACAGAAAGAGATGGGTGCCGGAGGTTAGTACAATATCCTCCTGGGGTCCGGCCATCGTGGATATGTTCAATCCAGAGGTCCCGTTTCCCAAAGAATTGGAAAGGCAGCTATGCTTCCGCCAGACTCGGGTAGCCCAGCGTCATGGTCGGCCGGCTTGGGATATCCTGCTCAACCTAACGAAGGATGCGCGGAGAAAAGGGTGTTTAGAGGGGAGAGCACCATCACAGGAATGGCAGAGCAATAACAGCGAGCCTGGCGTGGTTGTGAGAGGAAGACAGCCCGAGCTTGAGCGAGGCTCAATGGCAGCCAACCAGGAAAAACCGAGATCGGACGACGATAATACGTGTTCTTCGACTCGGATTTTCAACAGGAACCCTTCATCCTCAACACGACGATATTCATGGTGGAGGCAACCATGTCTATCAACGCAATCGAGTCTCACCTGGAAAGACGGTCGCCCAGTACTCATACGGCGCTGGCTCTCCTGGTTTCTCAACATCTCATCCTCGTTCTCAGCGTCTCATATTCTTTCTTTCAAGACTTCTGCTCACACGGCCAAACAAACCCCATCCCGCCACCCATCCTCAACATACTTACATGTTGTATGTCGGCTATGTATGTACATCTAGATACTCTCTGTATAAAAATCCAAAAACTTCCAGACCTCAAAACTTGCCCTGGCTTTTTTTCTACGTCGTGATGTTCTCCTTTTTTAAGAACAGGACAGGATAGGACAGGACAGACGCAGGACCCGATCATACTCACTCGTACAGGTACTCGACCGGAGCTTATACTTGCAGATCTACAAACCTACAGACCTACAAAGCAGACCTACGTACGTAGAGTCTACATACATAGATAAATGTATCAAGCCTACTTCGGCACACACGTCTTGAACATCGCACCCTTGACCCAACGCACACGACAGTTTATTTTATCTAGAAACAGACCCTCCCCCAGTCGACTGTTTGACTCACTGACTGTCGGGTCTCGTCTTTGGATTGTAGTACAAAAGCAGATGTTACCTCTCGCGATGCTGCTGCTGTGTCTGGTCCCATCTGTAGGCTGCCCACTGTCTGTCTGCCACCGCAGTTACTGACCTTGATAGCAACACACGAGAAAAAAAAAACTTTGTCCCTTCTGTCCCCATGTGTCTTCGAGGTGCAGAGAGAACAAACAAAAGCTCCAACCTGGTGCCTAAGTCCTGACTGGGTTGAAATTACAGCATAACCCCTTCTGGTGACGATGAGTCGCCGCCTATTGCTCTCCTTCTTGCTCTCCTTCAGTCTCATAATCAAACTCCCTGGGCAGAGGTGCGTCTTCCACTCCCTCTTCATCCTCGTCGATGGCTGTCAAAACACCTGCCGCTGCCGCTGCTCCAGCGCCCACACCGGCGGCTGTATCCTGTCCTGTCCTCTGGCCAGCTGGTGTCTGGGGAAGCTGAGCTCCTTCGGCTAGGGATTGCCCTCCCGTTGGTGCCCTTGCGGGGGCCTCGGTTTTGCTGACCAACAAGGGGATGATTTCCCTCTCCTTCTCCGGCTCGGTATCGAGCACAACCATCACACCACCTGTGGGCCGTTTGACAGGCTGATATCGCTGATCCGGGAATGTCAGATATTTCAGCTGTGCAGGCAACACCCGGGACATGTTGCTGATATCATAGCCAATCTTCTCTTTCTCTGCTCTTTTCTTCCCCTCCCCATGAGTCTCGCCCTCCTTTTTCTCCGCGTCCTCCTTGGACTTCTCCTTTTCCTTGCCTTCAGTATCATCCTTGATTGCAGAAGTCCCACCGACCTCGTCAGTATCCATCTTGTCCCCTTTCTCAATCTTGGGTGTCACAGGCGTCACGGTATCGACGTCCATACTATCTCTTCGTTGCTGTCGCTCCTTTCTTGCCGCTCGTCTCTTTGCTTGCGCCGTGGTACTCAGTACAGCCGTCTTGACTTTCTCGGGGGCTTCGTCAGTTTTTGCTTGTTGCTCTGGGGGATAGTCGAAGAGACTAGGTCTGGTGTTGCAGTGAAATTTGAATACCGGAGCTTCAAGCTTCTGGTCCACGCCAATCACCGCAGTCGGCGTCAATGACAACGAGAAGAAATGTGTCAATGGGAACCAGTACCAGTATTGTGTGAATACTACAGCACCAACAATTCCCACCATGTTCAAGTTGCCAGTCTGGGTTTGCAGGCTGATCGTACAATTTCGCCCACCAGCGTCAAGAATGCCCATGGCGATAGCGCAGCCAAATTTGCACATTGCATCCTCGTGCCGGTCGCTAATAATCTTAAGCATCGCTTTGCGAATGCTGCCAACCTTAGGATTCAGTGCGTCGTTCTGCTGTATCAACACCATGGCAAGGGCGATGAGGGCTCCCTGGCGTACAAAGTCGGTGGGATCCTTCAGCATGGGCTCGAGCAAGTCGATAGCTTCAGCAAGACCCGTGCCCGCACAAGAGATACCCAGTGCCATGGCAGCACCATATCGGACGTGTGGATTGTAGGACTCGGCGAGCAGCTCCACCATTCGAGGAACACTGGTATGTTTTCGGAACAGGATGAATCCCAAGCTGAGGACGGCGATTCGGCGAACGTCATCGCTGACATCACTGACGGCTACATGGAGCAGTTTTCGAACGGCCTTGTTGCTGCCAGTGCCGACGTACGCCATGGCAATCGTCAAGATGCCACCATACCTCATGGTAGGATCAGTGTCGTTGAGAAGACCTTGAATGAGCTCATCCGCGCCTTCTTGTCGGCCGTACATGATCAATGCCATACCGACTGCAAGACCTCGGACGATTTTCTCGTGTTGAGTGTCGTGGGCATGTTGGATCATGTCTGACAAGACTTTGGTGTTGCCCGAGCCGAGCATGACGAGGCCCATTGCCAGACCCACAGCCTCGCCATTGATGGCAGAATCAGACCAAAGCACATTTCTCAGGTCTTCGAATATCGTCTCATCGCCCGAGGCCATTCCTGCAACGCCGAGGCCAAGGGCACCTCCATGCTGCACGACCTCCTCGGTGGCTTCCTTGAACTTCTCTCGGATAAAGTTGACAGCCTTTCCTTTGTGATTGGCACATAATAATCCATAAGCGTACAACGAACCACCTTGGCTGTATGGAGAATCGTGAGAAGTGGCGACCCCACTCGGCTTAGGAAGGTACGGGCTCAGCAAACGACGGGCTTGCTTGATATTGCCTTGGTGGATGACACCAAAGACTGCGGTGGCAGTAAACTTCGACCAATTGGTAGCCTTGCCCAGCCACTCCAAGTTGTTGCGGAAGAAGGTATCGGTTGCAGTTTTGGCATGCATCAGCCCAGCGCACAGAGTGACGGCGGTGTGATATATAGAATAGCGCGCTTCCAGACTGTCTTTGACCTTGTTCAGAATCGATAAATCAACCCGATTCGACTTGTGCAAGAACTCGACGTTCAGATGTATTGACGTGAGGCCATCCAAGATATCTCTGATCTTCTCGACTGCATCCCGCTGCTCAGGGTTCGACAGCTTGGGTTTTTCAGAGGGCGCCGGGGCACCTGCGGAACTCTGCAGTTCTTGGTGTAATTGCTCTTCCGTCTTGGCCTGAGTATCGGTTTCCATCTTGTCGCCGTCTTCAGGCTTTGGATCTTCCTGCGGTAACATATCGGCAAGCTCTTCCCGAACCTTTCGGAGGAACTCTTGTGTGCTATTGTCGTAGAGATCAAAGGAGATCTGGTATGCCACAGCCAGTGAGCGGGCGTCCCCCTTTTCGATCAGTTGTCTCAGGATGTTGGAAGCCATAGAATGCTGATCGAGATAAACCACACATTTCGCGATGGCAAAGTAGTCAGGGGAGGGGATTTCGTTGAGCAGTTCCAAGATGACCTTGAGGATCTCATTTCGCAGACCTCGCTCTTGTACCACGCTCATACAGATATCCAACACATATTCCATCAGCTCTTCGCCCTTCTTTGTGGCGTCGCCGTTTTCTTTTCGCTCATCTTCCGCCGCTCGTTTGATCACGCGACGTAGAATGTCCAGATTGCGTCCCTCCAAAGCAATTCCCACGACTTGACGATATCTCTTTTCTCGAAAGCATTTCTCGAATAGAGACTCTATGACCCGAGTAAGGGCTTTCTGAAGACCGCGCTCTTGAATGATTCGCTCGGGCGACCCAACCTCGCCGAGCTCGACGCCGGCCTGGGTAGGATCGAAGGTTACGGTGTTCTGCCTGGATAGAAGGGACTTTGACGGGAGAACGGACTGCGAAAACGGCGTGACGGGGGATGTTAGGCTGGCAGACATGCTGGCGGCGCCATCTCCTCCTTGACTAAATGCTGTGTCAAGTTGGGGTTGGCTGGCACTATTGGCGGCAGCCAGCGTCGGATCTCGGCTGGCGGACAGGGCAATGAATGTATCTACACATTTGGAGATTATGGTGTCTTCAAATTCGCCAGGGTCGTCCAATCTGAAGTACTTTCCGGCACCGAGGGCAAAGGCCATGGACTCATTATATTCTTGAAGGTGGTAATACACTTTGGATGCGACGATGGCGGCGAGCTCGCGCTCCGGAAAGGAATCATCTTCGTACAGCGCTTCACTGTTGCGGCAGTATTAGTATCGCTATCAAGCTGGTGAACAACAGTGGAGGGCCACATACATCTGTCCCACGGAATCGGCAAGCTCGGTCCATAGCAAGTCAACCTGGCTGTCAAGCTGCTTCAGAGCAAAGCTTCTGAGCTCCGGATCGGGTTCTGACAAGAAGCCGACGAGACCGGCAGCAGACACCAACCCAACCATGGTTGTTGAAGGGCTGTTGCGTAGCGCGGGCGGAGCAGGATGTGATGCTCGGAGAAGTGTTGATCAGTGCAACGGAAGGGGGAAAAGGCGCAACACAACTAGGAGGGAGGAGTTCGGGAATCGAAGGAGTGAAGATGGTCAGGGAGAAGAAAGTCTAGTGTACAGGAGCAGGAGATAAAGAGAAATCAGAGGAGGGATGGGGTGGACGTTGAGCGAGAGGAAAGCGAAAGAGAAAGGATTCGCGCAGATGCAATTGACGTGTCTGCAGGCGATGGCTCGATGGCTTCGTAGTTTGCATCACCTTCTGCAGCCTGGAGTTATGGCTGCTTAGTCAGGTCAAGATCACGTGCGATGTCATAACCATAGCCTCGTCTCCCTCCAGTCTCAATCCCCAGTGTCAACACTTTCATCGTAACATAGCAACTAGGACTGTGTTCTATAGTATTACAAGGGTATTGAAAGGAGAAAGTGAAACATATTTCTCATGTCTCTCCAAAACCTCCCGGAGTTTACTTCCAGCTTGACCAATTCCAATCACATCCCATCCTCACTTGGTCTGTCTTTGCAGTGTCCCTTCCCGACATAATATCCTGACATTATCCACGAAACCTCTGACGAGCTTTTCATACTTGTTGGGTTGATTGGCTTTGAGACTCGCAATCTCGATCCGAATCTGCTCCGTGCTGATCTCGACCTCCAACTCGTGCTCTTTCACGGGCGTGTTGGGATAACTCACTTGGGTCAAGTCAATCTGGTATGCCAAGTGCCTATAGCTCATCCGGTCCTTCTTTCTATCGCGGCCTCCTTCAGTCATCTCGGTCAGCCAATTCGGATCCCCCTCCCACGGACTTTCGATTGAGATCGAGATTCGATAGTCGAAATCAGCCCGAGGATTGTAGACTTCCAGGTCTGCAATCCGGGACTTGATGATCTGTGCCTTGACCGTGTTCGTTTTCTCGTCAATCGTTCTCCGCACTCGAGGGGTATGTCGAGGATTAAGCCATGTTACCATGGACGGTGGCAGATTTCTCCGACCCACTTCTGTCAGCTCGTAGAATTCGTCGTACTCATGCGGGTGGCTATAATCAACTCTTGGTGGTTCACCGGAGGCCTGAGATGCGCGGTAGGACTCCCAGACGAGGTCGTTCAGAAACTTGTTCATAGCTTTGTGCTGAGCCTTGGTGCACCATTAGCCACGGAACATTGCAGGAGAAACAGCATCTCCAATACATACCATATCCATCGAACTCTTAAAGCTCGTCTTGCTCCGAAATTTGTCTTTGTTGAACACAGTCTCCGTTTCCACAGGTAGATTCAACCGATAGCTCGCCTGCTCGTCGAAAATCATGCCGACCTTGGCTTCGATCTCAAACACCGCCCCGCCAGCAGGGGGTTCAGCGTTGCCGATAACGAAATAGATCCAATCACAGACGTGTCTGGTAAGATCATCGTATGGTGCATCACCAGTGATCGAGGGCTCCCATCGAGGTCCCCCTGGTGGTGTCGCAGTGTGATTTTGTACTTGCCCATTGACAGCCTGCGACCCCACAGATTCCTTCTTTATAGGCATATCATTCCTGGGCGACCCAGGCGTCTTGGGTGTGCCAGCTTGTCGTGATGGACTCCAGTTTATTGGCTCCCCGAACCTCAAAGGCAAATTACGACGAGCGCTCTGCGCCCATATAGGGATCTCATCACGCCGGGGTCTCTTTTTAGGGGGCAACGGCGTCGCTGCAACATCGGACAAATAACTTGCAGATCGTTTCAAGGACGGCTGAGGCTGAGCATTTGCTGAAGGACTCTGTTGTGCGGGTAGGTATGAGTTGGTCAGTTGGGGTGTTGAATTATATTGGTTAGGAGCACCGGGTCCAGGGCTCGGGCGGGTATCCGGATACGACGCTCCAGATTTGGGCTCAATGGATGCGGAAAAGGATTTTGGCGTCGTCTCATGACTCTGGTTTTCGATATTGCGATCTGGCGTGGTGTGAAGTTGAGCATTTGGGTTGGAGTTGATGTTGGGGGCCCGATTAGGCTGCGCGTTAGACTGCGGATCGGACATGGGCTCCTGGTATCGCCCAACACTCTGCTGCCGACTTGGAGGAGGCTTGGGAATCGTCTTGGGGCTGACGCTCTCGATGCTCCGTTCGCGTTCCCGCAAGTCCCCAGAATAAGTCCTTTGTACGCTCCCACTGGCGCTCCTGGAATGTTCCGCTTGCGGGTAGGGCGGCTGATTATATTCCCTGCTCTGCACTGAACCAACGGAGCCAACAGATGATCTTCTCACGCTTTCGTGGCCATGGGACGTCGGGCGATGAGGATGAGGTGATGGTCGAGGATAGGCAACCGGCGGACCGAGGGGTGTTACTGGAGGTGGGTGAAACTGAGCCTGAGGTGAAACGTGCCTCTGCTGCGCATGTGCAAGACCGTTTGCGGAAATGTAGTCTTCTCTAGGCGTAGGAGACTGGGCGCTCAGGGAAGGGTGTGCGCTCGAGTGATGATATGTGGTGGCAGAGGAAGGCGTAGCGCTCTGGTAGTGGTGGACGGATCCTGGAGTTGGTGGGTAAGGCGCAGAGGGAGACGGTGAAGGAACAAAGGGAGACTGATACGGATGCGAAGGTGGAATCCCTTCACGCGGAGTGTGTATCTGTCCATGCGGTCCTGGACTCTGCGCATAGAAGGATTGCCCGGTTGCGCCGGGCGTCGAGCCTGACGCGGAGGCCGAATTTTGTTGTTGTGGTGACTGCACAGCAAAATAGGAGCCGTTTGCAGAGGTGCGGTATTCATTTGACGGGAGTGGCGGTGGCGGCTGCTGATACGACGAGGACGACGAGGGCAATGGAGGGCGCTCGAGGGGAGGATGAGACTCGTACGAGGGGCTGTGTTCATAGGACGATTGTTGGGTGTGAAGTCGCGGCGGAGGGTGCGGTTGAGGTTGATGGTGGTGTTGGTGTCGCTGTGTCGAGGAGTCGTTTAGCATCGACTTCAGGTCCATGACTGCCCCCAATATTGCTTCTGGCGTGAAGCTGTGTAACAGCGCGTGGATTTGGCCATCAATTAATCACTTGTCCATGGGTGGACTCGTCGTTTGTCGCTGGCGCAGGATGTGTGCAGTGCCAGCGGGTATGGAAGAGGGAGGTCAGGATTTCTTTCGACTGCGGCGCGCGACTGGCCGCATGCCAATGCCACCTTCCACCTTCCAACAACTCTTAAGAGCCTTTCCCTGGTAGAAACCTCCGCAGACTCCCAGCAATGTCCACCACCCATCAATGCCTACTGCACAATTGTTACACACCTCTAATTCAGCCTTCAGATCTGGGGTTTCACTCGTGGAATTTCCTTTGCTATGCTTTCTCTGTCTAATGCTACAGGTCTCGCGCAGTCCAAACCAAAAAGGGGTATCGAGATGAACTAATGCATCGCTGATTGACGCCATGCGCATGTGCAACGTCTGTTCTACAGGGGCCCTCTTCGCCTGCTAATGTTTGACATTTCCACAATATGACCATCTGTACCGGAGCCGTCAAGTGTGTTGGAGTACGTGCGAGTCATGATCAACCCTTCCCCTAAAAGATCCTGATCGACGCCGACCTGCGGTGATAGGTACGGCGTCGTTCGTGGCGTCGTAATGGAGAAGGTCGGTCTTACTGAGATGTTCCCCAGGCTCACGTTACGGCGGACTTTCAACGGCAGCGGCAGTGTCAATGCGTTGTCGCTCGTCATTGGGGACTCGATGCTCAGACTGCGCCTCCTCAAGAACGAGGGGCGAGCTGAACGACCACGACCTGGTCGGCCCTTGCTGCTGGATCGTTTGTGCTCGCGAGCCGCTCTAGCCTCGGGTCCAAAATTAACTCTGTCCCGCAGAGTGTGAATGGCCTGGATCAGAGCCAGCTCGATAGCGACACAGTTCTTGATGCGGCACATGCGCGGCCACGTCGCTCGTTCCCCTGCAACCGTCGCTTCCACCATGAACTCTGGCGTAGGGTTCATCATCATATTAAGGTACTCGCTTGGTTTGATCTCTGGCAAGACATTAATGTCGCCAGTGTACTGTTGATTGAAAAGGGAAGCCCATCTGTACAATCCCTGAGGAAAACCGAGGTCTGAGAGTTGTTGTGCGCGATGTATGATTTCCTCCTTGAACAGCTCCTTAGCTGCTTGAAGGGGACTCCGAACAGGCATGGGTGCTGCGGGTTGTTTGCCGCGAAACACCTCCTCTTGATCCAAAAAAATCCTGACATGCGGATTGACTTGTGAGACAATGAAGAAATTGACGTTGAACATCTCCGACAACTTCCTCATGGGAATATCGTGGTCCAGGGACCCGTCCACAAACGTCTGCTGAGCATTTTGCATCCACAGCTTTTCCTCCTTGGTGATGGGGTCTTTCTCATAGATGTTGGCAGGTGGGAAAACATTAGGGACAGCACAAGATGCGCAAACGGCAGACCAGATGAACACGTCAGGGGCAGTCACGAAGTTCAATAATCGTGGCTCGGCGTTCCCTGCACTGGATACGCAGATGTTGAGGATCCGTCCGGTCTTGTAGCGTGCTTCTCGAAAGGTGATGTCGCCCAGCCACGACTTCATGACCCGCTTCAGGTTGTCCATTTCAAAGAAAGCGCCGGTTCGCAGAAAAGTACGAATCCTTTGCGCGAGCCACCCCACCCTCCCAGTGCCCGGAGGATCAAAGACAGCCAGGTCTGAAAACGGGAAATGGTCAAGAACTTCCGCCATGCGCTCATCATTGCTGCTGCCCACGATACCGGCCACGATGCTTCCTGCTGATGCTCCTGAAATGATCTCCGGTAACAACTCTGCCTCCCAGAGTGTCTTGACAACGCCGATATGCTTCATGCCCAGAAGTGCTCCGCCCGATAGAGTCAGTGCTGAACGCCCGAAGAACTTCAATGCGTCTTCTAATGATTGTTGGTGGTGTCGGATTTCTGCTGTAGGGATATCGCTGTGAATGCTGGTTTCCGTGAAGGTCTCGATGGCCTCTAAAACGGTGTTGATGTAGTCGTCTATCAGGAACTTGGTGCCGAACCATGAGTGTTTATAGAGTCGCGACATATTCATGCCACCCAAATCACGACTGAGCCCTGTTCTGAGGAGATGTTGCATGGCATTCAGGTTCTGGTCTACCACGGCGTTCTTCAATCGGATGACTTGGCTCTCGATCACGTCGGGATTGTACCCAGGCTCAATGGACTCCTTCTCTTTCTTCCATGCCTCGTGCCCTTGTAGGTTATCCAAGTCAATAGTGCAGTTCTCGTACTCGGCCAAAGTCTCCGCATCGTGCATACGTCTGAGCAAAGCTTGTTCGTGTGTCTCCGGGGGTCTCCTGCTGTATCTGGCTATCTCTTCGGCCAGTTTCTGCAGTCTCTTGCTCGGGGAGAGCAGCTTGACCGCGTCGGCGTACAAGCCGACACATGACCAGAACAGCGGGGTATGCACTGGGACGACGGATAGGAGGATGGCCATGTTGACGGTGAGGTCGTGGCCATTTGACCATCAAGAGGCGTAATTTAGGACGGTGGTGTGAGGGAGGCAATAGAAATACAATCTGCAGTCTAGGTGAGTGGTTAACAGCAAACGACGGTGATGACAGGAAGGCGGAATGGTCGGTCCTGCTGTTGAATCAGAGCAAGGGCTGTGTCATCAAGTATGGTGTTGGCCACTTCCATATGGGGGGGGGGCGGCTGAAGTTGAAGCGTGTGACTTGGTCCCGTTGAAGATCTCCAAAACAAGATATTCTGCGGAGAGCGTGGAAGAGTAAGAGATCACCAAACCAACCAACGTATGCCAGACAGTGGCAGATGATACGACTCGAATCGCAACTCAGGCCGGCAGAAGACCGAAATGTCGGTAGCCGAGTGATTGCAAGGAAGCCAGACACCCACAAAAAAGTTGGGAGAAAGCGAATGACATGATGGTGCAGAAAAACAAAGAACGGATTCGTGGCATCAATAAGATCCGTCAGGTACCTCTCGGTACCTCGTACATCGAGCTGATTGAGTTATCCACGGGTTCACGGACGATGGACACGGAAGCAGAGGGGACAGACAAGAGTAGATGGTGGCTGGTGATGGTGGGGCGAACTATGACATCGACAAAGCGCAGTCAACAGTCGACGGGAATGGAAACCTTGGGAAACCCGCAGATGTTTCGTATCCAGGAACCTCGTGCGCACTGCGCAGCTAGGAAGAGCTGGAAGAGGTACCAACTCAGTGTCTACCTATTATTGCCACCTACCGACCGATTATTACACATTCAATTACCCATCTCCGTCAACGTCTCCCGCACTCATCATCATTCACTCCAACTTCCCGGGGAAAGGTCCAACAACCTGGAGAAAAAACAGGTCACGGACTCATCCTTCAGCTGCGGACGCCCCACGGTCTCACCAGATGATTGGCATTCATTTCATGGACTCGTGAATGAGGGTGTCCTGTTTTCTTTTTTCATAATTGAGCGCGTGATGTATCCCCTTGTCAAGTCGTGTCAGTCTCGTCGAATAAGAAGCACAACCACAACTGGGCCCCAGACGCCGCATTGACCCAGTCGCAAGACACTGGGCACGATCTCCTTCACATGCAAATTCCCGGATTTTGTCTTTGATGCTTCGGGTTCCTGACAAGCACAGCAGTCCCTGCGCTGGCACCTGGCATGCAGGGAGGCATGCTCATCTCGACCCTTGATCTCGGCCCTGGATTCTAGCCTTCACCGCCACCATCTCCCTTTCTGTCAAGCGTCCATGCCCAACCAGCGGTGTGGTGCCCTTTATCCCTTGTGCCCTTTCAATGCACGGCATGAGGCTGGCTTCTGCTGCACGATCGGCTTCAACCGATCCGCACATCGACCCTAAGCAAAAGACGGAAACGAGCATGTGCTCCCAAGCAACTTCTCGAAATCGTACGACACTCGAATTGCACATGCGTCTCGCCAATTGTTGCCGTCTGCCCTTGGCCAATCAAATAAACAAGTTCCCAGCATCCAAGGCCTTAAATAGGTCATTCCTTATTGGAGACTCGGGACTTCTCTCCAATGCCTCTTGGACGTCCCACTGAGCGTTTCGAGATCACACTGAATCACACTCCGTCTGCATTCGTATTGCTCTCTTCAACCTCCTGCAAGGTGGCTGGTTGTCTCTTCTGGAGTTTCCAGATGCCTCACAACGGCATCCCTTGCTTCAGTTCGGTCTGGAAGTTCACTCTGTCCCAAGGAGTCCAGGAACTCGGCAAGACCGTGTCGAAGCCGGACAACCCCCTCTGCTTCATGCCAGAAGTGACCTGTATCTGCACTCACCGTGACAACACGAGAGCCAGGCTGCGATTGTAGATCCTGCGTCCACCGCAGCAACTTGGCCGCAGACGTAAAGCCGTCGCGTGTGCCGTAACAGCAACAACACGGGTGCAGCGTAAGCTCGTAGAACTCTGGTGTTGGGGAGTGAGTGATCTCGCGGGCCTTCCGAGTGAATCTAAGCTTTGAAAACATCGTCGTGAACCCTGCGGCCGTCGACAGGATCGGGGATATGAGGACATACGCCACCTCTGGCAGAATCGGGACGGATTCGACGGCTGGAGCTTTTGTTGCCGACGGCCCCGGGCTGGTAGGCTGGTGCGGGCTGATCATCTTGCGACGAATCCGGTCCACACTCTGTCTGATTCTCTCCCCGTCGACGCTTCTCCTAGAGTTTTCCCGACTGACTCGTCGGCCGGCAGTGTCTGACTCGTAGCCTCCCATCATCATCACCACACCGGGGCTTGTCTTGGTGACCGGCTCTCCTGCTCCACCGCGGGCCCGCGGTATCGTCAGCGTCGCCGACCCGGAATGCATGTCTAGATAGGCCTGTGCGTCCTGCGACAGGTCTGCAGCCCGACGCCTGATCTCGCTCTCGGCAGAGTCTGGCGCCGGCGAGCGAAACAGGCCGCTCACAACGTCCACCCCGGGCAGATGAGACGCGATCATTGCTCCGTACGAATACCCTCCGAGGACCAATATAGGCTTTCCCACTGGAGCGGCACCTTCCCCGGGCGGTCGACGGAAGATGGCGTCGATGTAGCACAGCACCAACCCATAGACCGACACGTAGTCGCCCAGCTCCGGCTTGCCCGTCCAAGACGTCCTCCCCACCGAGCCGGCAGCACCTCTCGAGTCACAGTCAGTGTGGGGTCGGGGGGGGAAATTGTAGCTCTGATCGCCCTCGTACCTGAAATTGAACGTGGTCAAGAAATAACCGCTCTGGAGCAGGACGCCGCCAGCAAGCGCCACGACAGGATCATCGTAGCATCCCCCCAATGGTGCGTAGGGGTGCGCGAGGATCGCGAAACCCCGTCCGAAAACTCGCGCATTCCTCTCCGTTCGTCGAGGATAGTAAATCCGACAGTCGAGCTCTACATCGTCGTGGATGCTGGGGATGGTGAAAGAACAATGTGGCCGTGGGAGGGACATGGTTCGTGATGAAAACGCTGCACCGCCACACAGCTCTGGACTTGCCAGCACAGCATTTGATGTGCGTGGTCACAGCAATATCATCTACCTGTCTGTTGTAAGTATGGAGCTGCCCATGGTGAAAAGAGGCGTGTGGGAAAAACAGCGTCGGTAGTGCGTTGAATATATGTAAACACGGTGGATGCTGGGGACAAGAGGCACAGAAGCTGCCAAGACGCCTCATGCTTGTCGTTGTAAACGAGGGGCGGCACCGTCCGATCGCATGCATTACCATCACAAACCTGGTTACGGCAATACGAATCGACGGGCTTGTAGAAACAGAACACATAGCTACGCATGGTCATGCTAGGACAGTTGTGGACCTGGGATCTTCTCATTTGGACAGCGATGCCGGACAGTCTTCGCCAGTCATATCTTTACAGCTCATCCCTCTTTCTAACCTTTTTGTCATGCGTCAAATCCCATTCATCCAACCATCCCACTACTTGACGGATCTCCCACTCATGCGCAGCTTTAATGAAGTCTGGTTCTGCACTGATATTCAATATTCCCGAGCTGTCCCAGTGGTGGCCGCCTCCGGTGATGAGCATCTGATTGGGCCCATACCGCGTACTGGCGTTGCGGCCATGGTAGCATACATCCCGCCACACATCGCTTCCACCATCAATCAGTGCCAATCTCGGCGCTGAAATATTGAAGTCGCCATAGTTATTGTACCATGTCAGGTTTGGCCCGTCCGGAGATGGCACAGCTTGGGGCGAGAGTGGGCCTGGCGGGAAAGCCCATGTGCACCATTGCTGGGTGTAGTCGAGCCCAATAACGCGAGAGAGAAGGGAGGGCTTTCCATGCGGCTGCGGAAGTTGATATGCCCCTTGTTCTATGCACGTGCTGTAGAGATAGGATCGACTGGCTGAATTGGTGGGATCGGCGTAGAATGTTTCTTTGAGTGGTCAATACACATTTTAAAGACCTCGGTCTGCGAACTTACCATTTTGTGTCGAGAAGCATTCCGTCGTATCAATCAGATCTGGGCTGTCACAGGTCGAAACAATTACTTCTTTGACATAATTCGCATAGGCCCCTAGACCAGTCCAGGCTGAGCCATTCGTGTAGTTCGCCAACTGCATATCAACCGAGGCGATATTTGCTGGGGCATCCATGTCGGTGATGTTGTTGCAAAACTGGAAGAAATCCGGACTATCATAGGCCGGGAACCAGTTGAGCTCTTGCCAGGTGTTGGTGGGGTAATTCATTGGCCCGCCCAGGGGAAAGGCAATCTGATGGTTCAGACAGTCAATTCCGATCAATGTGAAAGGTCTTACTTACGGTCATTGCGAAATCCCTGAGATCACTCAAAGATCCGAGTCCAAAGATGTTCTTCAGTTGTTGGATCGCCTCCGTGTTATTCTGCTCAATCAGGAAGTCTATCTTGTCGATGATGTTGTTGATTCGGGAGATACAATCTGGGGGCCCGTTCTCTTGTATCGGATTATACCATTCAGGGTAGCCAAGGACGGCGTGAACGACGCCCGAAGCAGCAATACCACCCCATAGCAATCCTTGGTACTGGACCAGTGAAAATGCCGTTTGAGCACCGGCAAGACTGCCCCCGTACAAGATCCACGGGTGGCCAGGGGCTGTCAAATTGTTACCCCCCGTAATGTTGGGAAAGGTAGCATGTTGAGCAAAGTAAGCATTGTCGGCAATAGTCTGCTCAGTGGTGAGAAATCGCAGGTTGTCAGTTGTCGAGTTCGGAAATGGATAGCTTTGGCCATAGTATCTATTCTCAAGAATGACACCCAACCCGCCAGTTGCATTCATCAGAATCTGGATGATCCCAGTCTGAAGATTTGAAAAGCGCGATGGTCCGCTTGTTTCGCCACTGATATAGAGAAATACGGGACCTCCTGGCTTGTAGTAAGTGTCGTCAAAATAATACCTCTGCTTGAAGGTGGCATTTGTGTTTGGCGCATATCGAGAGCTGGTTTGAAAATGGTCAATAAGCTGGTCGAAGGTGTATGCGGTGTAGGTTGTTGGTCTTCCGTCTTCGTCGAGAGGGCCGACTTGTGCCGCAACGAGGCCTATAGTAGCTCCGAAAGCCGCGAGGATGGTTGTGAGGGACCTCATCGTGAAAGGAAATCACACACTCCGGGTGAAGAGACAAGAACTGATCGGAGCAGACAAGCTTTCAAGAGATGAGCTTGAGCATTCAAACGTCCCATCACGCGGCTCAAATAAGAGCTCGTCGAGGTTTGCATGACCAATGTCGTGCTGCAGATGGCGACAGGTTACGTCAAGTCCACCCATGTTGCAAAAAGATAGCTCTGCGGGAGTGTGCAGGAGCTTACAGGCTCGCCAGGAACTCGAAGGAGCTTGGACGAAGTATAACGACCAACATCAGGCATCTCAGGTTGTCCGATTGGTTCGACCAGGAGCTCGACAAGGTTGTGCAATGTGAGGAGATGATCTATTCCCCGACAGGCAGGTTGGAGCTTCGTCTAGGTTGCATTGTGGGAGGGGCAACTTGATCCCAGAGAGGGCAAACCATCGCATGATAAGACATCAGCGACTCCTCCGGAAACTCCGGCACAAAGTGGAAGACTGCCTGAAGCCTCGCGCTGCCGAGATGTCCCACGCCTTTGAGCGAAGAGTGGACGAATGCGAGAGAGATGAATTCATTGACTGTAGCAAAGAGTAGCAAAGAGAGTATGAGGTTGAGTGAAGAAAAGGCACCAGGGCGCAGCTGCGGAGGCCAAGACACTAACAAACGCAGTCAATTTCAAGTGCTGAGTCTCTCACTCCAAAGCATTATATTTCTCTCATCATCACCATTATCATCCAAATACAATGCTACCTATGCTGTGTCCACAGTTGCGCTCTGCTCACCCTTGCTGCGACCTCAAATCTCCCCACCCTGTGTCAGCCGACGAGCCCATGCAGTGCCACTTGTGCCTGATAACCTCCGGATCGGCTCGACCGCGAAATGCCGCTCCATTAACGGCGATCGTTCGCAGTTATTATCTGAGGTGGATCGAAATTGGACGTTGCCGTAACCTTTGACATCGTTGGACACACCTCTCATCAATATTTTTTCTGCTGATCAGTTTTTGTTACGGGCGATAACCGTCTTCAAGATACACTCGATACAAGAGGATCTGAGAGGGAAGAGGAGCCGACATGAGAAAACACAGCCATGAGTCCTCCAAACACCGCGAACCAACCACAACGGTATTTCCACTCCAAGAATGCTCCAGCCTCAACAAGTTGTTCAGTATATCCCCTAGAAAGAACGGGAACTCATTTCCCGTCCTCTCCAGCCACTAAGCCGAACAACCCTCTATCGTCTCCGACCACGGCCAAGGGGCTCGTTGGCTAGACAGACGCCGGTGGAGTCATTGACGCAGGAATCAGGCCCGAGGTTCGCTCTCTGCACCGTATCATAGTTGACATCAGCGATTCCGTCCTCGGGAAGCTCGTTGTACAGATAGCATCTCTGTCCTTGGATGTCAATGAGGACGCTCAGGCACAGGTAGTCGACGTCGCACTGGTCTGCGCAGTACTCGGCGTGGTTCTGGGTGACGCCGTCCAGCCCAGAGATGCCGACCAAGATGGTGCCCTCCGAGTAAGTCGGGCGGAACCCGCACTCCATGAAGTAAGAGCAGCCGCAGTACTCGTCGGATTGGTAGATTGCTGAGGCCATGCAGTCGCTCGTTGGCGATACTGCGGCTGAGCTGGTGGTGCTGGTAGACAACGTCGTGGAAGTAGGTGTCAAGGTCGTGCTCATGGAAGTGATTGTGGAAGTCGTCATCGTCGTAGTCAGTGAGCTTGAAGTTGCTCCGATGCCGCCATCCAGGCTAGTCAAGCTCGTGGTACTGGTAGTGCAATCCGGCCTTGCAATATCAAATGCTAGTGCGGGAAGAAGCAAAGGTAGGACCGCCCAAGCGAACGCCATTCTTTTTTTTTATGGTCAAGAACAGTATAGATGAAACTTTGCAAGGCAAGAGAGAATCAGGTGCCCGTACCACTAATCTCTGATCCGAAGTCCCATCCAGAAATATATAGATGGCCTGTTGGTGCGAGAGGACGCCGGAGGGGTAACTTACTAGAGGATTCTTGTTGTAAACAGTGGCTGAGATCGGCAGTCCTAGACGTGCTGTGCTACGAATGGAAAGTTACAATTGTCCATTCATGGTAAAGATACGTGCTCTGGGATCTTCGATAGCAACCGTGTGTTGGCCGCGAATACTGCATTTCCTTCACTCGCATCGGCCTCTTTCAGACAATGCTCAGTAGGCGCTGCGTTGCTGCGCGTACAGAGCAAGCCATCAGCGTGTAACTGTCCCGATTCGACGAATAGTTCGAATTGCAGAAACATTGAGAGATCCCAAGACAGTGTCCCAGGCTTCGAAACAGATTTCCCCGGCGGTGATTGACATCTGTTGTCGTGGCGATGTGCTCTTTTTTATAGTGCCAACCACGAACCCAGCAACGCTCGCCGATCAGGACTTCTTCTTCTTCTTTCAGAGGTACTTTTGAAGACCAAGTCAAGTAAGATGCTTGTAGGTAATAGTGCAGTCACTCGCCTGCCACTTCTGGGACGCTGCACCAAACCTTCGGAGCCAGAGATGTCTGTTCAGTGAGCGGACTGAGGCTGAAGCCGAGAGAAGCTCTCGGCCAAGGCCGGGTAGAGTTCAAACGGCGCCAAACGAGGAAATTGATGTTTTGGTGCAGTTGAGCCTGGAAAGGAAACAACACATATATTGCCCCGTGACTAGTCGTGCTAGTTCCGAGATCAAAAATCAAAATTCAGACAAGAGGAATTCAGACAAAGCAAATGGGTTGCAGGATCTACAAGTGCACAAAGTATTTGGCGGGTTCAGAGCCCGCACTAAGCCGGATCGAGTATTTTTGTGGAGGTGGTGCTCGTATTGACCAGATTGGGAGCTATGCGGAGGACGGATTCCTGTATTTGGTGACCCGTCCTTGAAAACACTCGCAAGTCATGGCCCCTTCTGGCCTTTTCCGGGGCGTTAGCCGCTAGAAGTGCGCCATTAGTTTCCAATTGTCATCCTTTTTAGGTATATGTAGGAAGTACAGTCTTCATTCTACAAATCCTTCGTCACCCCATACCCCAATGTTCATACCATAACAATATCCAAATCGACAGACCTCCAACACTCTGCTCGAGTATCAGGTTGCCATCATTGCGGCACATACGTCTGCCAGAACGTATCACATAACGGAATGTACGCCTCATACCTCGTCAATGTTACCAGCACATTCTATTTCACCATAATCTTATGTATGGTTGTCTTTCTTTCGTCGTGATCCCCTGACCTCGCGAAGCCGTCTTTGGTGGTCCGAGTCGAGTTGATGTCTTTCCGTATCACTGTCCGGGTCCCTCCGCCTTGCGCTTCTGCTGCGGCTTCTATCCGCATTCCCTGACTCGGGTTCAACGGGTATGATTTCATCAGTTACCCTGTCTTTGCCTTTGGATGCCGAGTGCTGCCGTGTTGAGGGTGGTCTCCCGCCACTCATTTCGGTCATTTCAGGGGGGGCCCGGTGCTTCTGTTGAGAGGAGATTCTGTTGGATCTTCGGTCACGCTTGTTGGAAGAAGCGCCGCCCGTGATGGCTGGATCATTATGGTATTCCCAACCATTTGTGAAATGCATATGCTTCGCCAACAGGTCAGCGAGATCACTGCATCAGATGTTTACCGCTTATGACCTACCTGATGCGGACCCCAAATATCTGGAGTTGCCGCACGAGCTCCTCCTTTGCGGTCGTCGACTGGTGGAAATCCCGAAGCCGCCACTCTCCGTTCCTCGATCTTTCTACGTTGTCGCCGCCTGAACCAGATCGCAAGCCAAGTGAGAAGCGCGAAACCCACAATGAGAACTCCGAGCATCAGGATCCACTGCCAATGACCATCGATCCTGTAATTTTGTCAACACCGCAACAATTGACCCCCGAGAATAGACCTACCAGGACTGGTGCGAAGCAGCAGACGCAGATGCGCTTCCCGTCCCCGTATTTGTAGCTGTCGAAGGAGGTGTAGAAAAACTCGTAATGGTCACGACAGTTGTAGACCCCGGCTGGAGGGCGGAAGTTGTGGACTCTAACGGGTCGATACCGCTACCAACCTGTTGACAAAAGGTTGTGAACCATGTTTGCAGCAGTGTCCTGTCGGACTCGCTCGTGCACTCGGCGGTGCAGATGGAGTCTGGGGTGCTGTACAACGCCTGCAGGAAGCTGCTTTGACAGAAGCAATTCTCGTATGTGATCTGATTTGTGGCAGGGACAGAAGGGGGCACACAAGCAGTCTGCGCCTGGAGTAGGACTGCACAATTGACAGCGCAGCTAGGGAATTGGGAGGTTGATGATGTCGGAACAATGCTCTGAGCCGACACAAGACGCAGGAGGCCGAGTAGGACAGAGGGGGATTTCAGGAGGGTTATGGATGAGGATGAGGAGGAGCGCATTTTGGCCATAATTGACCTGTGTCGCGTACGCTTTGGACGAGTTCACAGGGTCGTGGTAGAAAGGCTCAGGCGCGAGAGGATTGATTGTAATCGAAGGGATCGAACATGGGTCGGACTGTTGAAGTATGGAGGACCGTGATCAAGGCTAGGGAGAGTAAACGGCGGACATGGTGAGTCGCCGCATCTACCAGCCAGTTCAAACGAGTGAAGATGCTGCTAACTCGGAGGTGGGCAATGGCAGAGAGCAGAAACAAGGCGAATGGAAAGGGAGGAGGAGTAGAAACCTAAAAGACATGCTAGGATTGTAGACGGGGATTTGATAGGCATTTTTCAATTGGCACTTCCGCTTCCAGAAAGGTAAATGAGCGAGCGAGCCGGTAGAAAGCAAGGACAAGCTTGAGGAAATATGCATAAACACAGGGTGACAGGTTCGCGCGGAGCAAAAAGGTGCACGGGAGAGATGGTTGGTGGAAAGGGGGTTCGCTCTCAGTCCGGCAGTTAACCGCTGTCAAATCAATGCTTGGGGAGGCACAGGGGTCACCGGGGTTCCGTAGAGGCACGCAAGATAGGTCATCTAGGTGTCTTAGGGGGCAGAGCTAGGCACTACATATGTACGTACCTGGGTAGGCTTGGCTCCTTTGGGTGGGAGGGGCGTTGCCGCCTCGGCTACTCACTACCACCAGAGATATTAGCGTCTGTACTCAAACTGCATGTCTCGCACCTACCTGCCTACCTACAGACGAGGCACTCCGTCTGATGCTACACAAGCTCTCACGCTTCATTTGCGCTTCCCGTCCACACTGTTGCCTACCTACCATGTCCAACTCCATCTCGTCCGCCTCGAATCTTCTCACCCGCCTCTTCCAAGACCTCTCCGGCACCTGGCTCCTCAAGCGTAAGTTACAAAGCGCCGACCCATCAGAACCATCAGGGACATGCTCAGGCACAGCAACATTCACAAAGACGCCTTCTCCTTCACCCGTGCTCGATGCAGACGGAAAACTCAACATCCCCGATGCAGAACTCTTGTATCATGAGCAGGGTAACTTTGAGATGATGAAGGCTGTCGGCAACAACTTGGCCAGCGTTCCCACCTTCACCTTCTCCAGGAAATACATTTGGCGTCTGTCGAGAGCCGAAAACGTCCACACAATCAGCATATGGTTTACCAAGCCCGGAACTGAGGCCATTGACTACCTCTTTCACAAGATAGACCTGCCGTTCGACGAAAATCAAGCTTCACAGTCAGAGCCGAGACTGGTCCTTAACGGTACAGGAGGCCACCTCTGCGTGGAAGACTTTTACAACAGTTCTTACTCATTCACACTCAAGCGTCCTGACACAGATTCGCCCTTTTCTCTCTTCTCCTGGACCACCCTGCATGAAGTTCGTGGTCCAAAGAAAGATCAACACATCGAGACGACTTTTGTCAGGCCATGAACGATCTGGGCTGAAGAACGGTTGGAGATGTTGTTCCTCAAGTGTGCCCCCATTTCCTAAAGAGAAACGTGGTAGGAGGGCTCGGAGTTTCATTGGATGCAGGATAGAGGAACTGTCAAGGTTCTGCTGATGTCTTCTAGGAACAATGGTATCAAAGTCTTATTTGATGTTAACCACAGGCCAGCCTTGCAGAAGCTTTCGCTCAAAGGCGTCCAGGGTTTCTTGCTGTGCCACACAGCCAACCAAAGCTCCAGCCTTGTGCTCAACACGCGTTATTTCCCGCGATTTACTTATCTACCAACCTTTCGTCCTCTACCAACTTTTCATTCTCTCTCACTTTTTTGATCCTCTCTTACCCTTTAATCCTCTCATGTTTGAATTCTCCTACACCTGTACTTCACCTTTACCTCGCCTTCACCCACCCCTTTACGCTCTATCCCCCAACGTTGTCAAATCCTCTTGGAACATCATCCAAAATGTTGCGTCAAGCCTTGCCACGACTGTCATCCAGCGGTTTCCAACGAGGTATAAGTGCGACAAAGAATGCCACTCAATTCCATACATCACAAGCCCGTACATTCCAGACAATGAGCGTAAGGTACATCACTTTACTATGAGTGTAAGGCTACTAACATATCTATAGGTTCGCTCTATCCTAATATACCGGATACCCCTTCTACCCCTGTCAGCCTATCTGTCCAGGATATGTCCCGCAGTCTTCGCTCCAATATGAACATGGCGCGCGTCGAAACGAAAGCCGACCTGATAATTCTTCAGTCAAACATCAAAACAGACATGGTTGACATGCGATCCAAGATATCGAAAGATCTGCTAGGCCTTCAATGTGACATCGACTGCCTCCGACGTGACATCAAACACCTCCGATGTGACATCGATGTCCTTCGAACTCGCGTCCGCACTGACACCGATGTCCTCCGAAAGGAAATGGACCGTTTTCTTGTACAAGCTGAGTCAACCTGCGCATGGTATGCGACTCGGTTGCTTGAGTTGTTCATCCTGGTAAGTGGTCTTTGTCTTTTCATTATTCCTCTCTAACGATCACAAAGGCATTTGTTTCCGTGTCGATTTTGATTATTGGTTGTTCCGTAAGAGGGAGCTTCTAGGGGGGGAGGGGGGAAAGTGGCATGGTTTGACAGCCATTAGACGCGCTCTCGAATTTTTATGTAGTCACTAGGTAGCGATGAAGCCATCGCTAGATCAAATACAGTTAATATTGTTAATACGGATAGGAATGCTATTATGCCTAATAGGGTTGCCCTTGAGTGAATAGTGCATGGCTCCTTACTGCTATGGCTCGTCGGACTGTGCCATATTATCACGATCGCAGATCTGATCGATGCGACTGCCTCAATAAGCATTGAAATTGATGTGATTACAAAACGAAGGACCATGCAAAAGCTTGTGGTGCTGTTCTTGAGTACATATACATCAAAGGCCTGTCGAGCGAGACGGAGTGCGGTTCAAGCGGGAATACCGAGTATACTGCTTAGCACCAATCTAGAATTCAGTGGTTGCTGCTGGAACGGAAACCAACATCTTGCAATGTCCAGACACGAATAAAACTCACATAAGGTCTAAGCCCCTGGTTAGATGCCAGGTACGTAGGTAGGTAGGTAAAAATTGTAGATTGTGATCCAACGCGCTGTTTGAACCCCCCCGGCCCAGCCCCAAACGCACGGTATCAACGGAGTAGTGGTAGCAGTTGATATCCTCCCTTGCTCTCCCTGAATATGAATTTACTAGATGAAGCGAAGCCGGCCTCACTATTAAATTGCAGATCGAGCCAGATCCCCGGAGAGCGAGAGAGGGAGAGAGTGGAAAGAAATGTCGCGCTTATTTTCCCTCCTCCAGCTTTCCATCTTCTAGCTCGCTTTTCTTCCTCCATCTCCCCTTCCTGTCCCTCTATCTCGCTCCAAGCATTCACAACACTAGGATCCTCTATATCTTCACCCTGCCGGGTATCTCGCCGCCCGCCTTCTGAGACCCGTTGAGAAAGCCATAAACGCGCTTCAGGACGACCGTGTTGCCGGCCATGACGACGGCACTCATGCCAAAGAGGCCGACGCGTTGGGTCTGGTCCAAAAGGGCGAAGAGCGGGTAAGGGTAGAAGCCGTTGTAGGAGTAGCACAGCTCGATCCAAAACCAGTACAGAAAGGCGATGACGGTGCTGAGGAGGATGGCGGGCAGGGCGGTGATGGTCCAGGGCGGGCTGAAGAGCAGGAGGTCGACGAGCAGCAGCGCCGACGGCGTGAGGTGGAAGCCGACGTCCGGGGCGAGCGGCAGCTCCAGCTCCTTGGGCACCACCAGCGTCGGGTCAATCGCCCTCAACCCCCAGTACAGGGTGCTGACCAGGACCTCCATCGGGGCCGAACACATACTCAAGACGTTCTTCGCGGCGAACAATTTCGGGGACAGGGTCAGGTCCGCCAGCAGGCCCAGAATGAACGTCCCCGTGGCGAGCGTCAGGCCGATGATGGTGAGGTATTGAAAGTGCCAGCCGTACGCGCTGTTGATGTGGTTGGGGTGCGTGCTCAGCCAGTTGAAGCTGTAGGCGAAACTGGCCAGGCCGATCGAGTGAAGCAACGCCGAGGCCCCCCGCGAGGGCGACTGGAGCTTTTGGAGAGGGTGGCGCCGGATGAGGCTGTCCACTGCAGGTGTCTGAGACGGCGAGCCCGAGGCCATGCTTTGTTTCGAAAAGGGATCTTTTGTAGCGAGCTCGGAGTGCCCGGGAGACGGAATGGACGAGTAACCAATTCGTATACGATTTGGGCCGTCAAATCAAAATCGAAAAGACAAGGACAGACAGCCAGACAGACAGATATCGAAGAGAACGACGGCCCACTGACGATATTATTTCCTAGACCTGTGCGTAAAAGGCGTCCGCTCAATCTATAACACGAAGAAGACTGGTAGAGATGGGATATAAACCAAGAAAAAAATTGACAGAGAGAACAGTAAGAGTGAATCTTGTAGAAGAGCAACGAAGTGAGATGGAAGCTGACGTAAATTACATTCTCGCATTGGTGGGTGTCTGACTTCCGAAGTATCGTGGGGGCTGAATCAGCCTTGCAGCCTCCAGCCTCGTAGCCTTGTAGCCCCGCAGCCTTGTCACACATGGACTTGTATTTACGTGGGCAAGGCTGAAGCCACCTCCACTTGTACTCAAGACCCCAACTGCAGAAGTCTAGCATGTAAAAGAATTGAACTGTGGCATCGGACTTGCCATCCCAAATTGGTATGTACCAGAAATCAACGAAATGTAACGACGGGCTGGGTATTTGGACGACGCCCGCAACTCCAACGCTCGAGAAAATGTGCTCCGTGAACGTAACGTGGTGAATATGAAGCGAGTCGGCATCTCACTCCTCCTCTCCGCTAAGGTCTATCTCCCCGACCCTCTTTAATCATCCATATCCAGCTTCGGATTGGGGTCAGCCGAAGAACTCTCCGGTTACCAAGCATTCCCAACTGTATCCGGTTCTCCAAACTTCCTCCATAATCCGCCGAGCCCGGCTGACTTGACACATCCCAAGTCCCTCGGCTCCTTTGATCCGACTCAACACTTCTGCGCGATCCAAAGCATCCTCTGCTTCGACCCCAGCAGTGAATATGGGAAAGAGCAAACATGCTTCGGCACTTCCACCGGCTCGGATTTGCTGCAGGATCTTGACAATTTCATGGACCGCCGTCTGCACCTCCTGGTCGTCACGCGGCAGATTATGGATTCGTCGCAAGAGGTGGACCAGTCCAGCCCAGTGAAAGGCCGAGTTGGTCGCCAGGGATTCTTCGACATCCTTTTCCGACATTTCGGCGTAGGCTGAATTGCGACGCGTGCCGTGCGTTCCACAGAGAGATGCTTTGGTCATCTGAGGGCTGTGATGTGCGCACTGGATTTGTTCGTGGTTGCGAGCCTTTTCAAGATCCTGGCGCAGTTTCTCCGCCCTCTTGAGTATGTCCATGGAAGGCTTCCAGTCCTCGTTGATTTGCCCGGTATCGGGGTCGATTCTGCCTGCTGTTTCACATTCTCTCGCTAAAACAGCCACCTGAGCCAAGATTTGTACACATCGCGTGGTGAATCCGAGAAGACAATCTATCGTATAGTCGTCTTCGTCGTCGCCATCGTCATCAGTCAAGGATAACTCTTTGGCCGATGTGCTGTCCTCATGCGAGCTGGACCAATAGTTGCCTGCAAAAAGAGGCTCCTCGTTACGCCTCCCAGATAGTGAACCCATCACGTCGAGATACGCTAGCCACCTGGTCAAAAAGTACATGACAGGATCTTTGCGCGAAATGGAGTGTGGTCCTGTGCGAGCGCGAATAATACTCCGAGCAATGCTGAGATGATTCTGCCAGGGTATAGAAACACCAAAACTGGAAGGAGAGATGATTTCCAACGAGGCAAGCATGATGGCCGTCGCCAAGTTCGCGTTCGATACCTCGGTATTTGACACATTGTCTAAAGTCTGCCGTAGGGAAGGGAAGACGTCCCGGACCCAGTGCGCTATGCGGTTCGCAGGCTCGGGATGATTCAAAAGCCTGGCCCGGTGGCACGCCGAGTACGCCAGTAGCAGATTCAGCAGGTTCGGGTTATCAACGGCCACTATTCTAAGTCAGAGGATGGATTCAAATCACAAAGGATTCAGGAGGAATCTCGGGTACGTACTCTTTGGCAGGATGGTCTTGAACGGGTTCTCTGGACAATCGTGCGGAACAAGGATCCTGGCTGTGTGATTGAGGAAGTGATGGAAGTACAATAGGTTCATCGGATTCTCTGACAGAGTGCGCGGCAATGGCTCCAGCTTTCGAGGGATCTTGATGGGCACAGGCGAGGCATAATATCCCCCGCTTGCAAACACGGTCTCTCGGCTGACCAGCCCAAACCCAAACTCGGGTACACCCAGATCTGTGTCATTCAACCAAGATTCGAAGTCGCTGTGTTCTGATGGTGACATGCCTGATATAGCCATTGTATCGTTGTTCCGCGGAATGTCGAGGTCCACATTACCACGGTCTTGCCCATAAGTCTCCGTTTCCGAGTATGATATCATCCGCTGGTGTAAAGAGCCCCGTCGAGGAATCGGTTCGTCCGCAATCCCATTGTGGTCGTCTTGTCTGGAATCTCTGCGATCATCTGGCTCTGGATCTTCAGAGAGGAGCGAACTCACGGAGATTCGTCTGTCCTCGTTGTCCTGGGTCTGAGAAGTGGACGAAGGTGCTGGTGTCAAGGGATTGCTAATATAGGAGGGAAAGAAAGTGGGCGTGTGCGGGTTGAATTGAACACGCGGACCGACCTCTTCTGTGTCATTCGGACCATATGATCCCGCTCGTTGATAGTTAGGGCCATTCCTCCCGAAACTATCTGTTCTCGGACTCAACTTCATCCTCTTATTGGGATTGTAGGGCGAATTGATGGATTCTTGATAGGCCATAGGATTGGATGTGTGCATAGGCGGGGGCATTTGCATGGAATAGCCATTGAAATTGTTCATGCCGTTGCCGAGGTTCGGGCTGCCAAACCCAGATTCTGAAGGTGAGGGATACGGTGGCAGAGACATCGCATGTCGCACTGAGGGCGGGATGAGAGCAGGGTCGGGAACAGAGGAGGCATTCACATTGGCGCTGTCCCCCCACTGGGGAGTTCTCAGCATCGGCGGAGGTGGCAGGATGGCAGGGTTGAAATCACCCGTCGCTGGGACAGAGAGATTATTTGAGAAGCGATTGATCGAAGGCAACCCGGACTCTGCGGTGGCTTGGTCGACTGAATAGTCGGGAGCCTGGATGGTGACTGGAGGGGCTAGGATCTGGTCGTTGATGCTGGGACTCTGGTCGATGCCGCCGTTGGTGTATCCGTTCGAGGGCGGCTGGGGAGTGTTGAACGACAGAATCTGCGCACCAGACTTTGCATTTCCTTCCTCTTTCTTCTTGTTCCGGCCATCCCAGTTCAATCGAATACTGTAATCGCAGGTTTCGCCTTGTCGCTGACAGTTGGCGCAGGTCGGCTTCTCCTCTCCGCTGAAACAAACGCACTGTCAGCATTCCATCGACCAGTTCACATGCGGGACGGAAAGGACGGACCATTTGACCTTCCTCGACTTGCAAGGCCTGCGGAAGGGAAATATAAGTTATGGAGCTCGCCACGTTGAGGGAGTATGGACCAACCAGCAGCCATTCCTGGAGCGCTTTTTAACCTCTTTCCCGTCCTGCTCGGGTTTCTTTGGGCGCGGCATGGCGTCGGCAGAGACTTGTCACCGGCGATGATCGTAGGACAGCGACATCAGCATCTGTGCGGAGAGGGTGTGAGACTCGGCGCGGAATGAAGTGATCATCTCAGAGTCATCTCCGAAGCAGAAACAGGTTGAGATTGTGGAAAGGATCGAGAGGATTAGTTAAACTCGAGGACCACGGACGCGGGACAGATTTAAGACTGGCGAGATGTTGGCACTGGACTCAGGTGCGAAAGCGGCATGGGCGGGGAGAATACGGACAGAGGGCGTGCCATGGCCATACAGCTTCTAGATCAAGCGTACTCTGGATAAGAAAGGGGATGGAATTAACACTGATAGGTTTATTGGTTTCTGGAAGGTTAACCAAAAGAGGATGCATAATTGAGCCTTCCTTAGGCGGCCCAGGTGAGGGCATTGGGCGAGTCAAAGGCACGGATAGGCCAGACAAGGACGCGAACCACGGCCTTTTTGGCTTGGGGTGGATAGCGCAATGGCACAAAAAGTGGACGAGGTGAGCCGGGCGAGAGCTTCCGAAGAAGTTGGAGGGGGCTAAACCACTTGTGCCACAAGGACAGCATCCAGAAGGGACCCTCGAAGACTTCGACGAGGGGTCCATTACCCGAGCTGAACTAAAGGACTCGAGTACCTCGTATGGGCGGTGTGTACGAGGTACTCGGTACAAGTACACTGAAACCCGGGCAGGCAGTGGATGGCACACCGGCATGCCCTGGGCACACTCCCGATGCGAGCCCGGGCACCAGTCTTGCTTGGACTGGACATGCGCCGATGAGCAGACAAGACGATGCCATCGCTCTAGTAGCTCAGCTAGAGGCACCAGAGGCATCCAGAGGAGCGCCCGTACGTAGCGCCCGGGCCTGCAAAGTTTAGGGCACTTTAGCGAAGGACTTTTGGGGGGTTGTGGCCCATTCTGCACGTGTTCTTCTGAAGGATTTTGACAACCACTACCACCATCACCAAAGCTGCGTTCCCGTCTCAGATCAGCTACAACATTGGGGAATCATCGCAAAAGGTGGCTGCATACTTTTTGTAACTTCATCCCCCATTGGTCTAGTGTTACTGGCTGGCACTTGTCATTGGTCGCATCTGGCATACGGGCCGTGGCTTCAGTCTCTTAGCAGGATTTGATCTGATAAACCTCACCTGAGACACTTTGGCCATCGTCTGTTGGGTCCAAAAAACATCTGTTCAACTGCTCTGCCCTCAGCAAACCAGCTGGTTTCCGACTCAGAATGTCTACCAGGCCTGCGAGGTTGGGTCTACAGCTGATCCAGGCTCGTAATGTCGTCGCCCCGACGAAGAAGGTGTTGCCGACATCACGACGCGATTTGTCTTCGGTAGCTCTGGTTGCGCAAAGCCATCGCCGAATCTCAGCATCGAAATTCACACCTCTAGCTGCAAGTCCGCCGTCCTCAACCACGACCCCTTCCTCATTTTTCACCCCCTCTCTGTGTCGGACGAGAAACGCGTCGACAACCTCGAATGCCTCTGCCTCGACAACCTCTACCCCTCCGTCGTCATCCTCCTCTCCTCCCCCTGCTCTCGATTGGAATGCCTTCTTCCGCCTTCGAACCATACGACGTCGCTACGCAGTCACTTCCTCGATCATTACGTCCTTTGCTTCTACAGCCGGAGCATTGATAGCATTTTCCGAAATCCCAGCATTTGCTGACAACATCACCAAAATCATTCCTACTGATCCTGTCATTGGCATTGGGATCGCCACTTTTGGGGCCACTTTCTTTGGCTGGCTGATTGGCCCAGCTTTCGGAAACACCCTATGGAGACTATTGCATCGAAGTCGGTTGCCAGAGTTCAACAAAAAAGAGCGAGAATTTTTTGAAAGGGTTAAAAAGCACAGGGTCAACCCCACGGGTGCGAGCACCAACAACCCCGTGCCTGACTTCTATGGCGAGAAAGTGGGAAGTGTGGCTGGGTACCGACGGTGGCTGAAAGACCAGCGTGCTTTCAACAGGAAACGAGAAGGAAACTATTCCTCGACGAAGTGAACAGAAATGCTGTGGACCTCTCAAGCCATTCGCTGTGGGACACTTACAGGAAAGGATTCAATGTATGGCAATGAGCGATTTCTCTCGAGCTCATGCGGTTGGGTTCTCTGATGGTGCTGCTACTACAAGTCACGGCTGGGTAGTAACATAAGGCGATGTGGAGGTTTCACCCTGTCAGCTGTGCAGATGAATGTTCGAAAAAGCCATCATTCTCGTGTAATAAAACACTCCGATTACCACCCTCGTTGTACAACAACTGACACTCCGATATGACAAGATCCAGCTATATTCCAAATGATACCCTTCCATCTCAGCTCCGGTTTGTGAAAACAGGCCCTGGTGATCTAAGGGATCCCAGTGACTTGCTACACCTCAAAGTGCATCTTCCGACAGAGTTGAGGGTTTGTACCAACCCGCTACTTCTCCCATGTCTTCGTACCAGCGAAGGAGACTATCCAATGTTTAAGGCGTGACGTTCGGGTAGATACCAGACTGGCACTAGGGCGGTAGAATGCATTTCTCTTCCATATCCAAGATGATGTCAAAGGCGACTTCCCATTGCCTAATGAGGATGCTTTGCGGCAAAGTCTGGCTAATGTGAGAATAGTCTGGGCGTCCTCTTTACATCGAGCGAATGACCTCTAGTTCTACTATTTGACTGAAAATGTACTGCGAATGAAGTCACGTGACGCCAAGGCTAAGGCTAGGTGACCATGCGAGTTGATGTTCGTCGCTATTATTGACTGACCGCCTACGTGTACCTACTTGTAGATTCCAAGAGAACGTCTACTCTCTGTTACGGTATGCTGTTTGTCTTCTTCAGGGGCTCGCATGACATCTGGATCGCCTTCTTCCACTCTCTAGGGACGCGGTCTGTTTGCCGACGAACCTCGCCAGCCTCTTTCTGGGCCTCGGGGAAGTCTCGGGCACATGTCAGACAAGTCATCCCTGGGCTTGTCCTTGCGATCCTGACCTCACTCCCAAGTCATTGGATGGAAGATGCCGGAGGGCCACAAGAAGATGCAAGGGGTTCCAACCAACCACGACGCGTAGCATGAACGCCAAAAGGATCATCCCCGGACAAATTGCCGCAACGATTAACACATGGATTCGAAAATGCTCTGGATTCTGGAAGAAACTCCAGCTGCTGGAGACTGCAAAGGGAAAACCAGCATGCGTGATTTGATGGCTGTTGCAGGTGTCATCATCCCCATATCTTCCTTTTTTTTCTCTCACGGGTCTCGATGCGCATGAAACTGGGGATCCGGAATAAAACCGGCCAAAAATGCAACTCGTCCAGCATAGGACCCTACAAGTACAAGTATATCAAGACTGGTTTCTTCTGGTGCCCTTGCCCTACAAGGACATCTCAGATCGCCTCTCATACCATCGACATCCGGAATTTGGCGGCTATTGTGTGCGGACCACCGTCCCTTTTGACCCCTTCTGAACGAATCTAGTTGAAATCCCATCACAGTTGATTACTAGTCGACCCCAAATAGGTTGCAGTTAGGCCTTTGTCACTCTTTGGTCCTTGCAGATCATTTGGAACAGCATTGGCTATTGCTCGAGTCAGGCGCACAGGTTTCCAAAAAGTCAGCCGCTATATGAGTTGAGTACAAAAATCAACAAATCCAGACGGGAAGGAAAGCCCAGAGCGACGAATTAATAAACGAAGGATTACATCACACGCGGCCTGGGAAGACAGAACTGCCCAAGGCGTCCTGTTACGAACAAGCAAGCCGCTCCAGAACAGATTCTTAAGTGATAAGACATCTCGGTCTCGGAACATTCAAAGAGTACTCACCACCTTGAGATTGAGTGCAGAGGAGGAGGAGATTGTACCTATTTTTTCAAGACATCACCAAGAGGACCAGAAAATGTCGCAGATCACAGTACTAGGTTTCTCACCCTCGCGGCCAGATGAGCAAGGATTCAACGCCATCCATTGGGCAATATTGCTCACGCCAGCAACCGAAGCCCAGCAGCAGCAACGGTATGGTGCACAGCAGCCGTCGACACAAAGGCCCAAAACCAAATCATTCTTCTCAACTTCCCGGCTCTTGTCGAAGACGAGCAGTAATGCCACCCCACCGCTTGAAACGGTTCTATATGACATGCACAACCACCAACTCCGCCAGCAGGCATATCCTGTCCCTGTCAAGGCAAAATCAGATTCAACCGAACAGTCGAACTCGTCATCACCAGAGGCAGAGACTGCCACAGAAAATCTCCAGGCAACAGCGACAACCACAGACATCAGTTCGGACATTCGTAACCAGCCATTTCGTCTCTGCCTCCGGATATTGCTGAGTCCTCATAACCTCCCGGTCACGAAGCTCGCTTCCAAAGTATCCAATCTGCTCTACCGGACACCAACCTACGGACCGGAAGAGGACTGGCTGCTCGCTGCACTACATATGCTGGTGGGGGCCGGCATCCTTGAGCCATCACAGAACTTCGACCCTGAGGCTATCTTGGCGTTCGCTGGAGAGGCCGTCAAGGAGAACCTCTCGCAGAGCGGACACAGGTATGAACGTCAGCAGGAGGAAGTGTTGGAGCTGGACTACGCCAGTCACGTAAGGAGCATTGAACAGGTCAAAGCCATGTTTGAGCACCACCACCAACAGCAAGCCACGCCGCCTTACACGCCGTCGCCAACCCCGTCTCCGACATCCTCTTCTCCCGTGATAGGAGCCGCCGTGGTCTCACCAGCCATCGGAAACGTAGAGCGAAGGGGCTCCAGCGCGACATCCCATTTCCACCACGACCACTCGTGCAAACCCAAAACGCACAAGTTTCTGGGTCTCCGCATCTCGCCGTCGCCGTCGTCATACGCACCGCGCCACAGGTGGGCGTCAGGGGAAGGGATGAAGCGCGCGTATTACGAGAGGCAAGATGACCCGTACGGTGGGCTAATGTGAAGAATGAAGAAGCGTTGATCTTTTTCTTTTTCTTCATATCTCCTCAATGATGTATTTTTAGGGGGTGATTAATGGGTATTACGAGGACAACAACAAAAAACTTGGTACCGGACCGGTCTGGGGCATTGGTATTGGTAATAACACTGGGAGGATTCACACTTGTAACGGAAGCCTTGCGCGTGGCGAAGCTGTGGTGCGCATACAATAGGTACATCATGTGCACACAAACGGAGTTATCCCCAATGTCCATAATCATTCATATTCATATTCATATTCATGCCCATGTTCATGTTCATATCCATATCCACCTCCACGTTCCTACCCGCTACGCCCGCCTATATATCAGCTTCCACGTCCACATCCGTGTCAACTTCTTCTAATATGACCCGAAAAAGAAATTTACCTCCACCCTACTTGTACGTCAGCCCAATCGTCAACGGCGAGAAAACAAGACAAGGATCAAAGGTAAGAAAGACCCCCCGGACCGAGTTCTTGGATTCTATATGGACAAGTAACCTCTACCAAAGGGACGTCTGAATTCACCTTGGTATCTTGCATCATGTCTAAGAGGCGGAAAGACACACACAAGCCAAAGAGTCCAAAAACTGTAAGATGGAGATATAGATTTTGGTTTTGTAAATGTAACATAGAAAAGAAAATTTCGACTTGACAAAGTCCTGGTTGTGGTGGTCCTGCACTGGTACCTGCACCTGTTTTCTCCGTCTGATCCCCTTCTGTTCCTTAAAAAGCTGGTTGAAGCTGTAGTAAATGCAAGTAGCGCTCATAATATTTCATCCCGCATACACAACTGGTCCTTCTTACTCCGAGGGGTTGGCCACACCTGTATTAGTCCTTTACAATATCATCCGATTAACGCGATCCTCTTTGTCCCTGAACACCTGTGATCTGGGTTTTATGTTCAGTTCCATGTTCAAAACGCCTGGCCAGGCTGTCCTTGGTTGTGACTGGGGGGCACATAGTTCGCCCCGGGAATCGGGACAGACTCATACTGTTGTTCTCCAGGCGCGGCGCCCATGTGCTCGTGTATTCGTTCCTCAGGGGGAGGAGACATGGGCGGTTGTGGAGGTGGTGATGACGGGGAGAACAGTCTTGGTGAGCTAATACCCTCGGTCGCGGTGGAAATAGGGGTTGCTTTCGTTACTCGGATAGGTGGGGCTTGAAGTTTGAATGGTGACGCAGTGGTCATGCTGTGCGGTGAGGCGAATTGTATCGGTGACGTGCCTTGTTCTGCGGCCGAGTGTATGTCCTGTTGGCTCTTGAGCGCGGATGGGAAACCAGGAGTTCGGGGTGTCTGAGCGAAGCCCGGAGTGTTCGGTGCAGATTGGGTCCTCAGCTGGGCGAGGTATAGATCGCTTCTGGCACGATCGCGCGCGTCCATGGATTTCCTGAGTCGGTTCTTGCTCCAGAACCTGTAGAAGACAATACCATAGATGGCGATGACGATCACCTCGACAACAACTTCAATGATGCAACAAATCAGGGACCAGTCCTGCAGCCGACATACCAGCGCGTAGTGGATGTCGTCTTCGAAGAGTTGGCGGCGTTTGTTGTCCTTGCAGGACCAACCCCACAAATCCTGTCCGTTGCCGCTGGCTTTGCTCCCGTGCAGGATGCCCGCACCGACGAGCCACATGACAATGCTGAACATGAACCATCCCACCGCAAACATGGTGTAATATACAGCGACCTTCTCCGCACGCTTGTGTCCACCCCGGCAGTACGCCAAAATGACAATGATGGAGAAGAGGAGCGAAACACAAGCGATGGACAAAACGACAATCTGTGGCCAGAGTTTTTGGCCGGCCGCCCACGGAGGCAGGTTGTTCCGCGGCGGTAGGGATCTGGTCGCGTGGAAAATTGTCAATACAGTCGACAGCATGGCGAGTACGATCAGGGAACAGGAGAAGTTCACGCCTCGTAGGACCATTTTGGCCATGCGTACACGGGTTTTGACTTTCTATGTTGCGTGTTAGAAGGCGAGGAGGAGAAGAACGCAGCGCCTGCAGAGAAGACTTACCAGATCTTTAGCCTGTTGAATCTCGGTCTTCATTTCCTCCTTCTCAAGGACCTGTTCTTCCCGGAAGGTTGGAGAAAGAGGGTTCAACATTCTGGACGCGGTCCCCGGTGTTTTCAAAGCGGACTTGAGAGGCTGGCCCGCGGCGCCATTAGGATCAGCTCGAATATAGACTGTTTGCTCGACGGGCTGGTTGTCTGCGATATAGCCGAATCCGACATCTGATGGCGCGGCGGCTGTGTTGTGACTAATGCCGTTCTCCATCTTGCCGGTCGCAGGCGGATCTGCAAAGGGTGATTGACTCTCGCCAGGGCCTGAGGCGGGCGAGAAGACAGACGTCGCTTCGGCAAAGCGTGCCCGCCTCACGGGCCTGTTGCCGCCACCGATGGAAGACTGAAAGGAAGCCGTCGAGTTTGTCCGGATCGAGCGAGTGGTTGCTTTGATATCTGATTTTTCGTCCAGGTCGGGGTCGTTGTCGAAGCGGCCAGGGCGATGGGAGCGAGTTTGCGAGTCGACAGTAAGGTCTATGGGAGACACAGGTTCGAAGTTTGATGGTGACATGGTGGGGAGGGGAAGGGTCTATGCTTTATCGGTGAGGCGATAAACTCAGCCCAGGCTTGGGTAGCGTTGGACAGGGATTCCCCAATGCGCTGGTGGCAGTTGATCGGAGCACGCCTCGGTGCTGCAGTACAAAATGCTCGTTTGGGAGCCCCGGAGTTTTCGACTTGCAGAGGCCCGACGCTGACGTGAGACGGGAATAGATATCCAGGCGGGAAGCGGGGATGCCTTCGAGATTTGGGAAGGGAGGGTTATATGATAGTAATGTTTTGTTTTATTGTCGAGAGCCAGCTCAGATCTAGGGCAAAGAAAAGAAGGAAGAAAAAATATTTCAAAGTTGATGGAAGAGTGAGTAAGAGACAAGAGGCTGATGGGCGAGTAGGTCAAGTATTAGGTTGGGACGACTTTGTCTTGAGTGAGCTGACAACCCTGAGGCGCTTCGAAGGGCCCGAGTGACTTGATGGTAGGGGTGCCGTGGGTAGTATCAGTCGGCGGATGAGCTTCAAGACTCGCAGGAAATGCAGGGTGGAACAAGCGTGGTCACAATTGGCGCTTTGAGGTCGGTCAACCGGTCTCTTGGTCTCTCCTCTTCTTGGGGGGGAATTGCGGTAAGGCGTGCAATGCAGGGCCGGGCGGTGCTTGGGGGCAATTGGCCAAGATTCAAGGAAACAGACACAACGACTCAGCGAAGCCTGCGCGAGCTTTTGAACGAATATAAGGACGGAAACAGGGCGAACAGGGCGAAGGATCGAGGTCGGGAGGATGAGGTGGTGAAGGTGAGAAGGAAGACGGAGGGGGGACGGGACCTTCTTTGAGTAGTAAATGAAGCTTCTCATGCGTTTTGGGGTGCTGGGAGTTTTACCTTTCTCGTTTACCTCAGTCGACTTGACTATCAATTCCATTTCTTTTTCGTCAAATGGTGGGATTGAGCTGGGCGCTTGAGAAGATGCAAAGATGGCAGTCTGGATGGATGTTGAGATGGGACGAAGCTGCGGGGAGACACTCAGGACGCAGCCAAGAGGGGCATCGAAGGTGATGAGGTGAACAATTCTGGGATGATTGGACAAGAAGCCTTGAGGAAGCGCCGCCCCGTGGCGAATGAGCAGCGACAGACTTGGTTCATCACATTGTCGACCACTGATGGCGCTGGGGGATCAAGTGATGGGGCCTGCACCCACTGCATTGGCGTATGTGGGTTTCTATGTCGGGAAGTGCGAAGACACCCAAGCACCAAGTAAAGATCGGATACCGGATGCCAAGGGGGCGGCAGGGACTAAAGGGATCAAGTGGAGGTGATGTTCGGCAGCCACTGACAGTCGTGACAAGTCACTAGGCAATGTGGCCACATTCAAGTCACCGCCTTAGGTACCGAGTACAGTAGGTAGGCCCTACAAGGGATTCCCTAGGCATGAGTGACTTTAATCGGGACGCCCCCCAACTTTAGCAGTGAGACGCGGTTCCAGGTCAGGCTGTCAGGTCATCCTTAGCTACAAGTATAGGGACTGTTTGGCAGGAGGTGGCCGCCTCGTCCGCATAATACAAGTAAGTCGGTCATCTCTGTCCTTTGTCACTACTGGCACCTGACCTGCTTTGCCCTGACCTGTTTTAGGGACCTCAAGATCAACCATGGACTGCCACTGACTGCCTGTTCTAGGCCTGCCAGGGTGCAGTGGAGATCCCCTCCCTCCCCCCTGCGATACGAACATGCCCAACTATAGGTCTCTTCGGCCGCTCGGCTATTTTTGGTGCTTGAAGCTTGCCTGGCTGCAGCCGCCCGGGTCACTAGTCCATGATCTTCACACCTCTGGAGGGTTTTCTATGTTTGGAAACTACCTACCTGCCGATCTGCGTCTATGAGCTACTCCCATCTCGACTTCTTTTCGTCCTTTACTATCTTGTGGTATGCCCTCTCCCCAGTAATCATATCATTCGATAATGGCGCTTAAACTCCATCCGCTTCCAGAGATGATGCATGCTCGCTTCTGTCGGGAATGCAATGTGGTGTGCCTTTTGTGTCCGTTGACCCGCCGCTCCATCCATCCTGAACAGCTACTCGCCATTGCCATACCCTGTGTATCGTCTATGAAAAGCCATCACCTTACTCCACGCTCTGCTCAGGGCTTCGCTCGAGCCGCCTTGTACTAGAACACTTTCAGTAAAGCGGCTTGCCCATATCATTCCTGAAAGAAATCCATATTCTGTCCACCCTCCGCAGCCTCGGGAACATCAAGCGCATTCCAAAGATTGGTCTCATATCCACCCTCAGCGCCAAGTGATGCAATTTTCAACAATATGCCACTGGGGGTTGTGCCACGGCGTATTGCTCCAGGCCTTTACTCTTGACCACTTTCTTAGGTGGTATGTTCACATTTGAAGTTTCGTTCCCGAGCGGGAGTCTGATCTTCAAGGCCTTGGTCGCTTTGCGCTTGGATTCCTCGAGCCGCTTCTTCTCCATCTCCGCCCTGCGCTTCTCGTCTCGTCTTCTAGTCTTTCTCCCTTCGACACTCATCATATTGTTCTCCAGCTCCTTGGCCGTTGCCGCTACCTTGACTGGGTGGAACCTCTCGTGAGCCAGAGTAAAGTCCACGCGGTGCAGGCCGTTGCCGGCCAGATCCAGAAAAGGACGAGCCCAATTTTCAGAAAAATCAAGTCGGCAGGGCCAATCGAAGAATGTGACATCAAGCGTCAGATGGCGAAGCGAGGTCACCTGCTCCTGGATCTGTCGTAAAACCATGGCCCATTTCGCGTCATGTCTCAATTTCCACCTTCGATCCGCCAGCCAGGTGGGTTCGGCATAGCCAACATGGGTGATCTCGAGTGCTTGGATGCTTGCGCGAGCCTGTTCAGGAATGGTCTTGAGAAAACTCCGCAACACGACTACTCGGTCAAAGCAGAAGGTGGTTCTGGAATAGATGAACTTGACGGCTTCCCGGTTCATCTGACGACAGCTCAGGAGAAGACCAGACTCAGTTGGGTTGCTAGTGAACTGACCAAGCAGACGGTGAGGTGGTGGCTTGTGTTTCTTGAGAGGTTCTCGTCGCTTCATCAGTTGAAGTTCTTTCTGAGGGTGGTTGGCCGAAATGATGACCCGAGCTTCGGGAATGACGAGATCATAGATCCGGTTTCTGATCTCACCAGGCAGTTTGAAGAAGGGAAAGGGCTTCGAAGACGGGGATGGTTCAGGTCTTGAGGCTTTGGCGACGGGCGCAGTTGACGGTCGATTTGTGTCGTTTTGCGGACGAGATGGTGATGGGCCTAGAGGTTGGACCATGGGCCGGAGAACATGCTGTCGATTACGGTGAGGAAGCATTCGGTTACGCTTTGATGAAGACATCCTGGCTTTTTGCTTTTCTTGCATGGATGGGGTCTGTCTCAGAAGTGATACCAGAAAAGAATATTTGACACAACAGAGCGCGGACGAGTTGGGATGGATGCTGGAGGTAAGAGAGAGGCAAAAGAAACCCTTGAGGGTGAAGACTCGGGTATAGGAGTCAAGGTAAGTTTGAAAAATGTCTGTGGGAATGACTAGTAGGAACCAAAAGGAAGTGAAGTTCAAGTGATATTGAGTTACATGAGCCTGGCAGGCACCCACGTGTCACATGATCGCGCCGACTGAATGGGTGGGAAAGCAGGAGGTGAGGTCTGCTGGCAGGGTGACAGGTACGTGACAATGACATGTCCCCCATTCAAATTAACAACAATAGCAAGATGATAACCCGAGCACGGTGGTGGTGGGATGAAAAATAAAAATAAAAATAAAGGTGGAGGAGCAGGTTACACCTAGGCGGGAGAGAGGCTTGGAGCCGGGACATCTGCTAAACTGCGCTATCTCGAGATCGACAGCACATCCGAAACCAGCACGCAGCTACTTCTCCGCAACAACGGATTTTGGCGCAGATTACTCACTCCTTGGCTAGTAGGTGTTTAAAAAGCCTGCGACAACTTGGTCAACGATACAATAGTGCTTATTAACTTTTCGGGTTTGGTGCTCCCCAGCTTATTTCGAATATACTCGCACGCTAGGTTCTCGAGTAGGCGGGGGGCTGGTTTCTACTCGTAGTTGAAGAGGTGAATACAAAAGTCAAAAGGGCCCCCTTAAAGGCGTACAACAAGGACATCTACACTTTGGTAGGTTCGAGGTATCCTTGGGGCGCTCTGTGAGAGTTGATGGATGTCTGTGCTCCCATGCAAGGCTGTCGACAGGGGACCATGACTCTTTCCAATACCCCGCGGCCCCCTGGACAAAGTCGTGTCCGGAGATATTATTCCACCGTTTCCGAGATGGTGTCATCTCTTTCAAAAGCGGATACACTCGGTTCAGACGACTATGATTCCGAAGGGAGGTTGTTTCCCAGTGCCATCATGTTACTTTTAGAGAGTATTAATGTACAGTAACAGCCATGCACGCCTTAATACCTCATCCTGTCTGCATCTATTTCCCTCCTGCCAACCACCTACAGATTATTCTTTTTCCCGCTGCGCCGCTCTATGTCAAAGTATCTACTGACATTGTCGTCCAGATCAGCCTGGTTCGTTCCTGGTAGAGTCTTTCATCGTCGGTTTCAACACCCTTGGTACCCTCGACTTTCTCGTACAATTCCACTGCCTTACTGACCGGAGCGAGACGATTAAGCTCCGGGTTATACTGGTGGTGTCGTTTCAAGATCGCTCTTTCGTACCAACTGAGATGTCTGGGACGGATCGCGATGCCGTGGAAATCGTGAGAGCGCCCCTCTCGGACAAAATACCAGTATCTCCTGTTCACGCAGGTCAAGACCTGTTCTATCCGGGATGAATAAAATGGTGAGAATACAACCGATAAGGCCAAACCAGCTGACGGCCTGTCGAGGTTATAAGAACGCACCTCTTCAAGCCATCGACGCACCACTTACCCACAACTTAGTCCTGCCCCTGATGTAGTTCTCCTCTGGACGACTGCTTTGGGAGTCAATGTGGGAAGGCCTCCCAGAGCAACGGCTGTCGACTATATCTGCCATTTTGCAGGTTCAAGGCAGACAAGGGAAAAGAAGGTGAAGAGAGGGCATGTCGGCGGAAGTGTCTTTCCTGAGTCTTCATATTGCAACAGATGTATCGATTTCCACTCTTGCCTCCTTCTCTGACCAGGTTCTCCTGAACACTTCTTCGATTGAATGGACGAATGAGATAACCATGGTCGATACATGTGCTTCGAGAGAGAATATGCACTGGTAGGACGTAGCAAAGGGTTGAACCCGTAGTGGCGGATCGATCTTGCGATTTCTGACAATTTTCACATGCTTCATAGCATTGAGGAAATACGCCACACATACACACACCGCCTTGCGCTGTGGTTGCTATTCACCCGCATGGCCGTGGATCGCTTATGTCATATGCCTGGACGAGGATGCACGTTTTCTCCATACGCTCACTCGCTGACACAGGGACTGTCAGAAGGAATTGGTAGTCAAGCACAGGGCTGGGCGGTCGAACCAAGCCTTGTAATGCTTGATGAGACGTCTCTTGCTCTACATCAAGAACGAAGTGTCGTGTCGGTAGAGTGGCGTGAGTAGATGCATTGTCTCCTAAACACTCCTCCGTAGAGATTGGCGCTACGTCGAGCATTTAGACCTTCGAGCGCAATATTGAAATTTCTTGCTGCTTCTATTCGCAGGTGGAGTTTTGGCATGGGGAGGAACAAAATTTCTCTACTTGAAATTCTTTTAGGCAGAGCCCCTGCAGAACCTACCGCCAGCTATTGTCAGTCAATGTTGCCTTCTCTGTAGACGAGTCAATCACCAACATAGGCAGTCTTCCTTGAAATCTACAATCTCAAGCACTGAGCGGTGTCAATACAATGGCTTCCCAGAAGATAGGCATGTCACCTTTGCCACGTGGATTCTCCACTGTTCAGACCGTATTCTAATGCCTTCCAGCCATTCTTTCGGTCTATGATAAAACTGGCCTCCTCGATCTCGCGAAAGGCTTGATCAAGCAGAATGTTCGCCTTCTCGCTTCTGGAGGGACGGCGAAGATGATCCGAGAGGCCGGTTTCGATGTGGAGTGCGGGATTTCCTTCCTTCCACAACTTCTGCGAATCTGCTAATGCTCTTTAGAGATGTCTCTGCCATTACAAAGGCACCTGAGATGCTCTCCGGCCGAGTCAAGACTCTTCACCCGGCTGTTCACGCAGGAATCTTGGCTAGAGATCTCGCCTCGGACGAGAAAGACCTCGCTGACCAGAACATCAACAAAGTCGACTATGTCGTCTGTAACTTGTATCCCTTCAAAGACACTGTTGCTAAGATCAACGTGACTATTCCCGAAGCTGTGGAAGAAATCGATATTGGAGGAGTCACTCTTATCAGAGCAGCAGCCAAGAACCACGCAAGAGTAACCATCCTGAGTGATCCTGCGGATTATCACCACTTTCTCCAAGAGCTGGAAAAAGGCGACATCCCTGAAGAGAGTCGCCAACGATATGCGCTAAAGGCATTCGAGCATACCGCAGATTACGATGCCGCCATCTCTGACTTCTTCCGCAAACAATATGCCGGGAATGGTGTACAACAGCTCTCCCTGCGATACGGAGCTAACCCCCACCAGAAGCCTGCTGCAGCATTCGTGCGCAATGGGAAGCTGCCCTTCAAAGTCTTGGGCGGCTCTCCAGGCTACATCAATCTCCTTGATTGTTTGAATGCCTGGCCCCTGGTGAAAGAACTCAAGCAAGCACTAGGACTTCCAGCTGCCGCAAGCTTCAAGCATGTCTCCCCTGCAGGAGCTGCTATTGCGGTGCCCCTGAATGAAAAAGAGCGACGAGTGTACATGGTCGATGACATTGAAGGGATCGAGAGTTCAGGTCTGGCGCAAGCGTACGCCCGTGCACGGGGTGCGGATAGAATGTCGAGCTTCGGCGACGTGATTGCTCTCTCCGACAAATGCGATGTCCCTACCGCGAAGATTATCTCCCGAGAAGTTTCGGATGGAGTCATTGCGCCAGAGTATGAGCCAGCAGCGCTCGAGATTCTCAAAAAGAAGAAAGGAGGCAAATATCTGGTACTCCAGATGGACGAGAGTTATGAACCTCCGGCACAAGAAACACGCACCGTTTACGGCGTTCAACTGACGCAAGGTCGAAACGATGTCAAGATCTCGCCGAACGAGACGTTCGCCTCCATTATCCGGCCTAAGGATTCTGCCAAATTGTCAGACTCGGCGCTGCGCGACCTTACGGTTGCAACCATTGCAGTGAAATATACCCAGTCTAACTCAGTCTGCTATGCGTTAAACGGCCAAGTTATTGGTCTCGGTGCCGGGCAGCAGAGCAGGATTCACTGCACGCGATTAGCGGGTGATAAGGCTGATAACTGGTGGATGCGTTTCCACGAACGCACGCTGTCGATAGAGTGGGCCAAGGGCGTCAAGCGGTCGGAAAAATCCAATGCGATTGACATGCTGTGTTCCGGCCAGGTACCGCCTCAGAGCGAGTTCGAGACGAAAGATTATGAGAGCAATTTCGCAGCGGGGAGTGTGCCGAAGCCCTTCTCCCCTGAGGAAAGACGTCAATGGTTGGGCAAACTGAGCGAGGTCGCCGTTTCAAGTGATGCTTTCGTGAGTTCTGTTGACCCTTTGCCATTTTCTTCATTCGCTGACGCGGACCAGTTTCCCTTCGTGGACAACGTGTACCGAGCTGCCCGAAGCGGCGTGAAATACATTGCTGCCCCGACGGGTTCGCAGAATGACGGTGCCGTATTCGACACGGCGGAAAATCTGGGGATAACATTCATTGAGCAGAGCACGAGACTGTTCCACCACTAAACGTCTTTCTTCAACCAAAAAAAGGTGACTAAAACAGTGGGGAAGGGTTGAACAAAAAGAAGGGGAAGAGCCCGATATTGGCCTCAACGCCAGATAACGACGAGGAATTATGACCGAACCTGACCGAGGAAAGGAGACGAGATGCTTGACAGAGTGAATGAATGACGGATACCCCTTCTTCGGAAAAAGACATAGAACATGCATGCGCATGTTCATATCGAGTTACAAAAAAACTTTTCACAACCTGAACAACCTCTCTGGAATCTCCACCCGGAGCAGATTTAGGCGCCCAATGATGACTACTCGGTACCTCGTAAAGGAATGTGTCCAACCTTCAAATCCTCTCGCGCAACCTTGTCACCCATGACATTTTGACGACCATCTATTCCTTTTCTGGTAGTTGGCCTGGCCCGTGCCCTTCACCCTGAGAAACAAATTCGCTTACCGGACGCTGGCTCGAGGTCCGATGTTCCGCACAAGGCCTTTAACTACAATCGTCGAGAGCACATGCAAGCGTTCTACCGTATGAGAATAACTTTGTACTACTCGTAAGTACACGTCCTCCGGGCGCGAACGCAGTCATGGTGACACCAGGGGATTTTTACGTCGTGGATGATTGAGTCCGTAAGTATCGAGTATTGACGCGTATCTGACCTGACTGTGGATCACCTGGGCAAGCAATCCCAGGCGATTCCCAACAGAGATTTTGCTCACCGTCGACAGGGAATACATTGTAATGACGACCTATGCATAAATCCCGACATCCGAGTTTTTGATAGCCCCCAACCACCGATTGAACCCCCTTTTTCTTGCTTTGGACCCAAAGGCCACCGAATGCAAGTATGAGTACATAACATATCAGACGGGCACCTCCCCTGGTGTCCAGGAGATAAAGGTTCTGGAGCTTGGGCGTCGTTGTTTCTTGCCACGTTTTCAAGCTTTCGCTCTCTAAGCCTCGCCAGATACCAGACATGGTCTCGCCAAAGGATCTCAGCTTCGGTCTGTCGACAACATGGGTCGGCCTCCTGGGCTATCTGATTCTGGGTAAAATCGCGCACGACCTCGTCTTAGCCGTCTACAGGATCTACTTCCACCCGCTTCGGCGGTTTCCTGGCTCCAAACTCGCCGTCGCCTCGTACTGGTACGAGACGTACCACGACGTCTTCAAGGGCCACCAGTACGTCTGGAAAATCAAGGAGATGCACGAAAAATACGGGCCCGTCATCCGCACCAACCCGGACGACGTGCACATCCACGACCCGGACTTCTTCGACACCCTGTACGGCCTGAAGTTGGACAAGTGGGCGTGGTGGACGCGAGGGTTCGCGGTGCCCACGGCCGGCGGCATGACGGTTGAGCACGAGATCCACCGCAAGCGGCGAGGAGCGCTGAACCCGTTCTTCTCCAAGGCCAGCATCGTCGCCAACATGCCCGTCATTCAGGAGAAACTGGCCGTCATGTGCGACCGACTGGACAAGATCAAGGGGAGTCGGGAGGTGCTGGACCTCGAGGCCGTGTATCTGGCCTTGACCACCGACGTCCTCACGCAGTGCTCGTACGGCTGGACGTACGACTACATCCACCACCCGGAATGGGCCATGACGTGGAAACTCGTCAACACGGGCGGGCGGGCCTCGGCGGCGATCGTGCGCTCGTTCCCGCTGATCGGCGCCGTCGTGCGCTCGATGCCCCTGTCCGTGGCCATCAAGCTCGTCCCACCCGTGGGGTTCATGAAATCGTGGATGCAGCGCGTCGGCGTCCAGGTGAAGAAGATCAAGTCGGACCCGGAGACGATGCGGGCCATCAGGACGGAAAAGCGGCGCAAGGACACCATCTTCGCGCAGATCCTGTCGAGCGACCTGCCCGAGGAGGAGCTGAGCGACGAGCGCCTGGTCGACGAGGGCGTCTTGATCGCCACGGCGGGCTCCGAGACCACGGCCTGGGCCGTCACCATCACCACGTACCACGTCATGAAGAACCCGGACGTGCTGGCCAAGATGCGCGCCGAACTCGCCCGGGTCGAGGTCCCGCCCGGCGACCCCGTCGCGCCCTGGACGTCGCTGGAGAAGCTGCCCTACCTGACCGCCGTCATCAAGGAGGGCGTCCGCATGGCCGGGGGGATGCTGTCCCGCCTGCCCCGGATCTACGACCGGCCCATCCAGTACAAGGAGTGGACCATCCCCGCCGGCACGCCCGTGGCCATGACGCCGCACCTGGTCCTCATCGACGAGAACATCTTCCCCCAACCCCGCAAGTTCGACCCCGAGAGGTGGCTGGACGACGACGCCGTCGCCGAGGGCAGGACCACAAGTCGTCTGGACAGGTACATTGTCGCGTTCGGCAAGGGTTCCCGGAACTGTATTGGTATGCACTTGGCATATGCGCAGCTGTACATGTCCATCGCCGCCGTCGTGATGAGATATAACCTGGAAATGTACCAGACGGACGACAGCGATGCCACGCCAACGAGAGATCTGTTCACGGCCGGCGTGAAGCTAGATAGTCAAGGCATCAGGGTTATTGTGCATGACAAGGACGAGAAGATGTGAATAATCTCAAGAGAGAAGAGAGAGAGAGAAAGTGCTGAGCGCCTTGATGACTGAAATTCGTGCACAGCAAACAAGTCGCCCGTCGACTACTGGTCCCCCGAGCACGCTACAACCCAGTTGGAGGGTTCATATAGAAATCGCCTCGAGATATAGACACTGGTAGAAAGTTCAAATACAGCGCTGTAAGGAAGCTTGCTCGTACTCCGGGTCCAAATCCGTCCTCCTGGGCTTCTTCTCCAATATGCTCTGACCATCTACTCAGCCAGCTGTTTCGCCCTCCAATCCCAGTACTTGCGTCGGATGGGATCCCACTTATTGCCCAACGCATCCAGACACGCCTTGCTCCGCTCAATCTTGCCGTCCAGGCGATAGATGTCCGCCAACCAGTCGATGGCGTGGCTGCTCCTCACGTTGCCGCTCTCACTCATAAGGTCCGCGTCCTTCCCACCGACAAAGCCCTCGCAGAACACCTGGAGATCGGTGATGGGGATGCCGGCCCTCTTGAGGACGCCCTTCAGATAGTTCCAGGGGGATGGATTCTGCGGAGCCAAGGCGATGTGGTCTTTGGCGTAGTTGATCTCTCGCTCGACCACGTCCTCATCGACAACAAGCTTGCCGCTCGCGAGCACGTCCTTGCGGATCCTGCTCTCGGACCCCTCGATGGCCGCCAGCTCCTCGGCACCGAAACAGACAAAGTACCGGTGGTTCCATGCCGAGTTGTTCCGCACGTCCTCGTTGATCAGCGCGTCGACGGCCTGCAACTCCATGTCCGTCGTCAAGAGCGGGTCGGGGAAACGGCGACACAGCCATTGCCGATACGTCCAGACGTGGTAGTTCTTGGCATCGAACAGGAGGATGTGGGTGATGAACTCGGGTTCGTTGGGCGGGAAAGTCGGCAACAGGGAGACCAGGTACTGACGGTGGTGCCTGCGAGAGAGCAGACATAAGTCTGGGTTGAACAGATAAGATGTGTTGATGCTGCTGGGGTTTGGCCATTGAAAAGAAACGACCCAGCAGTTGCGGGACTTATAACTCACCAGATCTGATAGTTCTTCAGATTGCGCTCACTGACATCTTCCAACCAATCCAACTCCTCTTTGACACCATCCTCAATACTCACTCCCTCCTTCTCCCATAACGACTTCAGGATCTTGGCACGATACAGCCACACCGTGTAATGTGCCGGGTTCATCCCGATGATGTCCTCGGTCAAGTCCAGTGTGCGGCGACTAAACTCGTTCATAGCCATCACGGCCCTCAGGTAAGACATGGCTTCGCTGTAACGCACCGAGTAGGCGATGGTGGCGAGCGCCGGACCGACATCTTTTTGGCCTGGCGGGCCGTCAATGAGGGGTATGGGGACGACATCTTTCCACAACGGCGACACGGCGTAGAATGGTTCCTTGGACTTGTGCTTGGGTCTTCTCGGTATCGTGGCGGCCGACGCAGTTTCGGCCATGTTTGATGGACCGGAATGTCAGCACTCTAGAGGGCGGCTTCAGCAAAGAAGCATGAATGGAGTAACGAGCGCAAACCTCATCTAGGCTGATGGGCTTGCGATCTACGTGCCAGGCTGAGATCAAGTCACCCCGTCAAAGATGCGTTAGCTTCGTGAGCATGTCAAGGGCGACTTTGCTGGATGATCTTATGGGCAAAACCAGGGAAAAGCCACATTCACATCAGGGCATTCACTGCATTGAACTGAAATTGGTCGGAATGAAGAGAACAATACTAAGATGAGATGCGCTTCGGAGAAATCCAAGAAATATTTCCGGGCCGCCCCACGTGATGCACAGAACGGAAAGATGGTCTCTTTGCATGCTTGGAATTTAGTCCTTGGGTCGTTGACACAATAATAATACATACTTTTGCTCCCTCATTAAATCAGATAGCCCTTGCACTTGACCCTTGATGCATTGCGCCTTCGCTAATAAAACATCAAGGAACGCATCCGTAGCTGGACTACCTCCAGAACTTCCATTCGGGTCGCCTCTCGTCAAGGCCGACACCAACCAACGCCTCGATTCCCTCTTCACCTTTGGCGTTGAGAAACTTCTGTTGGTCAATTTCCTCGCCTCCTTCCTCTTCTGTGCCATTGTGCAAGACCGCTGGATAGAGCATGCCGACACCATTACCCCCTAGCGTAGTAGTGTACTCCTCAAAGCCTGCCGCCTCAAACTTTTGCTTCAGGTCGACAATCGCGGCTGGGTCGACGCCTCGCTTGAGTAACGTGATGGCGCATCCCCCGCCTCCAGCACCCGTAAGTTTGGTCCAGCCAATATCGGCGTAATCCACCAACTCCCGAATGTGTTCCAACTTGGGATGAGAAACCCCAAGCGACACCAGCAACCCGTGATTAATGCGGAACAGATCTCCCAGATGCTCGATGTTTTGCTCTGACGTGGGGTCGAATTCGTCCGACGTGATCAGAGAATGTGCTGACATGGTTACTTCGTCAATGCTGTCAAGTGTCGCCTCCGTCACGGCTGGATATTTCTTCTTCATTGCAGCGACTTTAGCGACCTCCGCCGCGGTTGTGCGGGGTTGTTTCGTGTTGACCAACATCAATGGAAGTTCGGGAAAGTCTTTGAGTGGCGTGGCGCTTGGAGGCTTGGAATAGTCGAGTCTCTTGAATAGAACAGCTCTTCCATGTGTTGCGACAGTATTATCCACCCCACTGGGGTTGCCATGGATGCACATCTCTCCAACAAAGGCCCATTTGTTTATTCTCTCAAGTTGCATCTGGATTTCTTCCTCGGGCTGATCATGATGTGGTCCTGACAAGACGTGGATCTGTTTGAGAAGGGCAGCGCTAATGCACACGCAAATGCTTGCGCTCGATCCGAGACCTGCACTAACAGGTAACGTAGACCGTAGGGTATAAATACAAGCCTGCGCAGCAGGCGTCTGAAGGCACAAAAACAGATACAAGAAAGCAGAGGCCGCATTCTGATGTATCCTTCTCTTGTCCGGGCTCAAATGGGTAGACACAGTCTCGATGTGTGACTTCATTGCAGAAACCAGCTCGGGGTCTAGTGACGTGACCATATCGTAGTATCGAGGTTTCCGTGTCGTCTTTGTGAAGACATGCCATGGCAGGTCATCAATATTCCAGGTGTGGTCGAGTCCGATATCTGGGAATACAAGCTGAATTGTCCGATGCGACTTTGAGAGCGCCGTAACTAGGAGGTAGGATCGCAGGGAAACGGCCGCTGCCATTGCCGCTTTACCGTGAACCACAGCGTGTTCCCCAAAAACGATGACTTTTCCTGGGGCTGAAGTCATAAAGGCCGGAGCCATTGGGGACGATGATTTCCGAGATGCGAGGGACTGGCGCGACAAGCCATCCTTTGCGTGGCCATTGACCCCTTTGACCCCGTTGACCCCGTTGACCTTGGGAGTGCCGTTCATTGCTGAATCGACACGATGGACCATTGCCTGTGATTCGAACGTGGAACAAGGGCGCTCGAGAGAGCAAACCCTCCTGAGAAGAACGGTATTAGAGGCGGCCGTGACGGGTGGGAAGGTGAAGTGGTGAAGAAGACGGGCTGTCTATGAGGAGCAGGTGAGGATAATTTTTGCCAGCGCAGGGAGCCTGCTGTCGCAACTGGTGGACGATCCAGCCAGTTAAGCTTATCGTTTAAGGCACCAAAGGGGGCGTTGGGGGTGGGTGTGGTTAGGGGGTCACTAATTAATTAACAATAGCGAGTTTATGCAGGAACGGGCCACTCTTAAGTCTCCTCAGCCCCGCTTACCGGGTGGACAGCCCCCGCTAACTTCCTTATCCGAGTGGCGCCAGCGACATCAGACCAATGCCATGATGGATGACCATGAGTAACTTGGAAGAAGTTGATTTGGTCTGGTCTGGGGTGCTGCGACCCGTAGCATATTCCGATTCTCTGGCATCAGTCTCATCGTCAAAGAGCAATAATTGACAGAGGGCCCTCATCCCAAATCACTCTGAATCAGAATCACTGAGCTCCTCAAACCTTCCTTCATCGTTTGCTACCTCGACAGGATTCTTGACATTCACAACGCCCGTGCTTTTCAGTCTCTCAAACAATACAAACATTCTTTCGGCTTCCCGTTCTTTTTCTTCTCGTGTCATTTCTGGTAGTTCAATCGGTTGCTCCTTGTCAAGCCTCTGTCCTGTGATGGGGTTGATTGGGACTTCATTGGAGGTTTCACCCGCAAAATGTGACTTTTTCGCGCTTTCTGGGATAGGAATCTTGTGTGTCATCAAATATCCTGCAGCGTAGCCGTATCCAACATTCTTAACGTATTCGTTCGCGTCTTTGTTCGAAAGCTCAAACATAAGCCCCGAGATCGATTCAGACAGATTCAGCATTCCCGAAGACGTAGTTAGTCGCAGGAGTTGAGATGCTAGCGAAGATGACTTCCCTAGAGGTTGATCTCTTTCCTTGTCGTCGGGTAAGAGCCGGGCCTTCATCTTCTCACGGAGTCCGGGATCCGCAGCCTCATTGATGTTTCTCAGGACAGTCAATAGTGGAATAGCAACCGTGTTCAATTCTGTAGACGAGTGCTCTTGAAGAGCCTGTTCCAAGATTTCCACCAACCTGTCCACCGCTGAGTATACGTCGCGATCCTTCACCATCTGAGAGTCAATATCTAGGTTGGCCAAGGCGTTCACAATCAGGCTTATCGGCGGTTGGAGCGCTGGCGATGGACTGTCTGAGTGGATCAGTAGACGGAAGAGCTCGACAACAGCAGGTCGAAACTTTGTAAGCTGATCACTCTTTACACTCGTGGCATTAAAAAGAAGCTTGAGAGTTTCCATCAGTGCCATGTTGCCCTGACCCATTGGGGCTTTTGAGGATGACTTCGTCGCTTCGTCTGCATGACGTGAAAGGTGCTTCACGATGGCATCTGCCAGATTGTGATCTGATATCAAGGCGGTCATGTCGATGCCAGGGTCATAAGTTAGCAGGAACAGTATCCGCGACAACAGAAACTCTTCATCGTCGTTTGCACCGTGCAGTGCGTCTGCTGCCTTTTTGTCGAGTTTGAGTTTCAGTGAGGACTTTCGAGCTGCTGGAATCAGGAGGAGTGCATTTGCTATGCATCTCAGGGCTTCCTGACGGACTGAAGAAGAGAAATTGCCAAAGGCATAGCCGCCCAGGGTCTTGATACCCTCCTCGTTATAGATGTTGGATACATTATTGACATTGCGCCCTAAGACCTTCAGTTTGCTCAAGGTCTCTTCGAGTCGTGCTTGTTCGAGGGTCTTGACATCCAAGTCCTTCGTTAGTAGGGCAAGCAAAGCTCTCGCCTCACCCTGTTGGGTTTGATTCGCCATGGTCGAGGAGCATGAGCGCGATGAAAGTTTCAGCTTCTAGCGCAAACCAGAGAAGAAAAAAAAGTACGACATCAGTCTAGCAACCCTTGAGTCGGATGATGGGATGTGCTTGTCGGTCAGTAACAGATGGTTCGACAATCTTCCATTCCCGAGGTTGTGCCTTACGCGGCGACATTTCAGCTAGCCCGTTTAAGTAAAGCACGAGGGCGCGAGGCTGAGCAAGGCTGGTCAGGTCCACCAATCACCAGAACCCCGGCCTCCATTAAAACACGAGGTCCGCGTCTCGACGCGTCCCCTGTCCCTTAACGCAACGAGGCTGGGCATGTCGCCAGCGCCTCTCCCTCTTTATCTTTCCCCGGCTTTGAATGCTTCTTTACACCTTCTCCTGGAACTCCTGCGATTTTCGAGTCATGGATGACTGCAGGCGGTCTTCAGTCCTTTCAGGCTCTTTGTTTTGTTAGTACCAGTGACTTTGCCTGTCTGTGCAGTCTCTTTCTGCTTCATTGTCATCATGTCAGTTCCTGATGTCCTTCCTTTGAGTCCGCCCTCCACGTCTTCACGCCGTAAAGTCTTCTTTCCAAGGCCATTAGCCAAACCAATGAGCACCCCAGACTCGCCCGCATCATTTCCTGGCTCATCGAACACCGCGACCCGAAAACGCGTCGGGTTCTCCATTGGTTCCCATGCTGAACAGCCTTCGTCCACGAGCCAACCGCCTGCAAGTACTACAAGGCCATCTCATCTTCCTTCTTCGGGCTCCCAACCGTCTCTGAAGTCCATCCTTAAACCCTCTTCTGTCGACGAACAGACTGCACAAGCTGTGGAGGAATCACAAGATGCTAAACGCACAATGGGTGAAATGATAGAGAGTATCCTGCAACAGCTGTCTCATGACGACAGATCACTCTCCGTCGATGCATATCAGACCCTTGCTTCGGTCATTCGCGAATATGATGACATACCCGAGGAGGAAGTGCTGAAAGCTAAGATAACCACAATTCTGAAATACATCAAACGAGATCTGCAGAAGCAACCCAGTCCAAACGAGCCACTCATTGCTGATACGAATCTGGTCACTCAAGCCTTAAAGGTGCTTGTCATTTTTGTATGGAATCGCGACTACTCCTCTTTGTTGACGGACGAGCATCGTATCTTCGTCCTCGATCGCTCCATCCAGGTCATCTCCGAACATACTGCACCAAAGGGTGTGATCCTTCACTACCTTCACCTTTTAGCAACCCAAAATTTTCGGCCAGTTCTCGTCAACAACACCCGTGTTACACGCCTGCTTGAAGCGCTCAGGGCTCTAACTGAGCATGTGAAAGGCAATGGCGTGGTCTCGGAGAGGCTGCTGGTCTACCAGAAGCTCCTCGATCAGGCAAGGCCCACAATGAAAGCCCGAGCGAACTTGTGGGTAGAGGCGCTATTGACAGGCATGACAAACTCGCTGAAAGATGTGAGAACAAAAGCGATTGCCATGGGTCTGAAAGCGTGCTCGGTATTTCCAGTGTCCTATTCCATTTCAGTCACTGTCAAGTCGATTCTCGCCGCAGAGCTTGCACCGGGAAAGACGTTCAGCTCGGCTATGTGTCGCAGACTTGAAAAGATGATCACGGTCAGAGAAGAAGGGGTTCAGGTTCCCCAGATATGGACAATCGTGCTCATGCTCAGCAATGGTGTCGAGGAGCGAGACTCCAATGGAGCTGGGCCGCGGTTCGACAAATGGCCACAATTTATGGACTGGTTGAAAGTCATCCAGACATGCTTCAACTGCAGCGAGTCTGCCATCAAACAACAGGCCTACATGGCCTGGGATCGTTTCATCCACATCATCCGACCCCATCAAACATCCGATACCTTGATGGCATTGCTTGCGAAGCCACTCACCGCTCAAATGGAACGTCAATCGACTGAACAGGCGTCCAAAGGCACCCGTCCAACTGCTGTTTCAAGTTACTGCACCTTACTTTATTATGCTTTCAGACCCGCAGCTACGCACAAACAGTACACCAGGGTCTGGAATGAATACATTGTCAAGGTAATGAAGAGCTCATTTTTCGAGAAAAGCAGTGCCAACGCCGACATTGCGAGTCGCATCTTCATGGCATTATTCTGGAACTCAAAAAAGAGCACGAAGGTCTGGAATGAGAAACGAGCCCTTGAAAATACACGAGTTGAGCCAGAGGAACTCCCCACCATCGATTGCAAATGGATTAGAGCAAAGTCCAGAGCGATTCTCGACATGTTCCAAGTTTTGATGCAATACAGCTCCTGGGGTGCTTCAGGCAACTCCGACAAAGCGTTTATTGCCATTGCCTGGTCACATTTCCTCAAAGCGTTGCGAGAGGCGAGCAGCAAAGAGATCAAGCCTTCACCCGAGACACTCGATGCCATGACCAACGTAACCAATTTCTTAGGACTGCTCTTTGAAGACTGCTCGGGACTGGTGACCGAAGATCGAGCAAGCGGTATTCATGGACTTAGCCTCGCCCAAGTGCGACACTTGACTCTCGCCGCCATCACTGAACTTGGGACAGATCTGATAAAGGCTGGACTCGAGCTCAACTGCGACATCAAGAGGATGCTTGTCATCTATGATACACTAGAGTCCGTCATGCGAGAATCGAAAAATGAAGAGGATTCTCAGAGTCGTGCGCCATCCGAGGCGCTGAAGACTGAAGCACAACCAGTCTTGCGCCACTCCGAGGAACTGCTCGAATATCTGAACACCCGGCTACTACGAGATTTCGGAACGCAACACGCTACCGGAAAGAAATCGTTGATAATGCTCGGGATAGAGCAGCTGGGACAGAATTTCGATGCTGCCCCACAGGAATATATTGTCCGCCTGCTGGGACTACTTCAGCCAACTCTGTCTACCTTACTCAAAGGCGATGAGTTCGGAAAAGACGAGACTCGTGGCGAATGTTATTCTGAAATCTTCAGGTCCACCCTAAACATCCTTGCCAGAACTGCCCCTGGAACTGACGAAGTATTCGATGACGTTCTGGCCTCTTTCTTTGAAAGTCCCCATATCTTTGCACGGGACGAAGCTATCACACTGTGGAATATGCGTTACAGCCATTTACGCGCTGTCTCTATCAGCCAGCGTCTCTCTGAAGCTTTGTGCAAGTTACGAGAAGCCGGTATTGAATTAATCCCTGACACCACAATGCCACCTGCTCCTGCCGGGGCAAAGACTCCCACATCTACACAAAAAGCATTAAGTCCCGACAAGGTTGCACATAGCGCTGGACCTTCTCCGGAACTAGGGAGCCAGCACTTCGAGCTTGTTACAACGGAGCATCCGAGTCCGACTTTCTCAGGCCCCAGAAGACAAAGTCCCCGATACAGGGCGAGATTTGATGATTCCCAGGTTCTCTTTGTACCGATTGATTCCTCACCGGCATGTGAATACGATTCAGATTCGCAGTGCCTAACAGAACATCAAAAAGAAGTTCGAGACAGACAACGTTCCGAACCTACCGTTGTATTTGCCGATCTTCGATCAAGTCCGCGACCACATAGCAGGGCTACGAGCGTAAGCAACTGTGGTATTGCGCGCAAGGCAGCTGCGCTACCAGAACGACCTTCAACACCAACTTTGCCAACAGGTCATGATCAACAGGAACCCGAGATACCAGCTTCTCCAACCCCTCGAGCACGACACGTTGCTAATCAAATAGCGGATATCGATGTGCCTTCGTCGCCGCCATCAATTCCAGGTTCTCGTGATCGAGGGGAGATTACTTCTTCTCCACCACAATCTGGTGTGGAGGATGGACAAGTCAGGATTGATCTTGCCATCGCGCCGCCGCAGGTCATCTGTCGGCAGAGCGCTATGAAAGCAAATGACGTTTCACCAACTGCAGATGTGAAAGGACCATTTTCCACCGTCAGTGAGCAGAGGACCGTTAATGCACAAACGGATATCAACATGCTGGACCAGAGCGCTGAAGAAGCTGTCCGGACTGTTCCCACAACCACAGATCCATTGGCAACGACTACCGGCGCAAATAATGATCGTGCGTCCTCAAGCCCAATGGCAACTAGAAATGACAGCGATGAGATCGACATGCTTAGCGCCTCGCAATTATCCCATGATCTTGACCAACACCTTAGCCAGGTAGTCGAGGGCGAGGGTTTGCAAATTGCAGGGGAGGAACAGGAACCCAACAGCCAACCAAAGCCCCAGACACGACGAAGTCGGAAGCGCAAGTCTAGTAGCCTGAGATTCACCTCGAACAAGCGGAGAAGGTCTCAAATCTCTTCCCAGACATCGTCCCAAGCAACCAACAGCTCTTTGTATGAAACACCAGGAGAAATGGAAGACTGCATTGAGATTGTTCCGACGCGGGCAGTTCAAGCGATTGCCACAAACGAACTTGTGCATGAAACTCGGACAGCTGTTACTGAACCAACGAGTGCTCCGAAACGTCGGAGGGGCCGACAACGTCGAAGACCAGAGAATGTCAGCTCGACTCCAGAGTCACCGATTCATCATCTTGACGCGGTCGAGGTAGTGGTGCGCGGAACTCGGCAACCGAAGGAAGGAAGCGTACTCGAGAGCGACCCATTGCCTTCAGCACCGAGCAAGGGTGAAAACGCAGCAGCAGAGAATCCCCAGCTACCGTCAAGTACTGATGAGGTAGCAGCCTCAATTGATTTATCGGCTTGCCCTGATGAGTCGGCCGAAGGTGGTACTCAGCCCAGCCTAAGTGTTATGCTGCAAAATGTCCTGGATCGGCTCAAGTCAAGTGAGCCCGGAGACGTGGACTTACGGGCAGTGGATGAGCTCTGCTTCCAAATTCGATTTCAGGCACAGGTAATTACTCAACGGCAGGACGATAAGCTGTCAGAAGGGATGTTATGAAGGTTCACCTATGATAAAGGTACAAAATAGTGGTATTGTCTGGAAATCAAAGGCACAGAATATTGATATTGGTTTGGACGTGATGATGAAATGCGCATTCAATGCAACTCCTGTAGCGTCCCCTGTGGTCTACTTGTTCTCTCCAAGGGGCTGTCAATATTTGTTGCCCATACATGGGTGGTGGACTTGGAGCATTATATGCGGCTGAACGTTCTTCCTAGAATGGTGCCACGTGACATAGTGAGCGGAGATTCTGCTAAAGACCGGGCTCCTTCGACCATTGCCGTTGGCCTTGATTATTATTGACTCCTTCGTTCAACCACTACATACCCCGAACCCCGAAATCGCAGCTCTTTGCACCTCTGACTCAACCACTCTCACCTCTTCCTCCTACACACTCGTATCCTCCCTGTCGCCCTCGTTTATTCTTGCGCCGGTCATTCCCTTTGGTGTGTGTTTGGTCGAGAGTCTCTAGAAGCGAGAGAGAGAGAAAGAGAAGAGGAAGAAAAAGAGCAAACACCGAGAAGTGTCGTAACAATGGCCGCAACTATCAAAGCCATCAATGCGCGGATTCGCTCAAACAAGGTCCTCGATTATTTCTGCTCCACACGTACGTTTATCCCAGCGAGCCTTTTTGACGCACAATCCCACTGTTCATGAGGAACAACTGCGCTACTTGCGCGCTATCGTCGCTGCGCTGTTGGCTAGCGATTACGGGGAAAAAGTTGTTGAGCCGCACGATTAAGTGGGGGAAGCAAGACAAAGCGACAGCACAATACAGTCACATGAAATCCGAGCTACAAGAGTACTGACTGTGTTGGCTGGACAGATTTCTGGGGTCCGGCTTCGAATTTCGGCATTCCCATCGCCGCAGTGTTGGATACACAGAAGGATCCTGAAATGTACGTCCAACCCCACCACCTCTTCCATCTGTATCCTTCAGTGGTGCCTGCAAGCACACAGACTTGGGGGCATTCAGTCATCGTCTGCTCCATTGGGTTGGATCAAGACTTTGGGGCCGGTCAAGAACACCCAGAGACATTGAGGAACGGAGACTAATGGGGTCTTTTGACTACAGCATCTCGGGACAATTCACAGCTGCGCTCACCATATACTCGGGGACATTCATGCGATATGCCCTTGCCGTGACGCCCAAGAACTACTTGCTGTTCGCCTGCCACTTTGTGAACTTCAACGCCCAGCTCACACAAGGGTATCGGTGGTATGATTACTGGTAGTAAGTACAACCTTTCTTTATATAAGCTCGGCCCCAGGTTGTCCGGCAATGCGTCAAGCACGAATGCTCGAGATTCGTCGCCGACATCTCCACTCGCATCAAACCTGCTAGCAGCTCGTTTTTGATTCAATCGATCTAATCGCTCGTGTTTGCAATTTACAGTGGCAATGGAAAAGAACGCTGGGAAAAGATCCGCGCCGAGAAGGCCAAGACAGAACTTGAGGGCGCGGTCGACTCGATCGCCAGCCAGACCAAGGACAAGGTTCAGGGTGCCGTGCAAGAGGTGAAGAAGACGGTGTCGTAATTGAGGAGCGGACGTGGATGTGGATGGGCTGCACACAGACCCCGTATGCCTGGGGAGTGGAAGAACGGAGACGGAGGGATCTTGCCTAATGCCTGGACGGGACACACATCGAGAGTCGTGTTTCAATAATACGACACTTATTACCAAGGGACTTCTCCTTTGGCCCTTTTTGGGAAAGGTTTTCGGAAGTTGGTACATACATACATAGGAACACAGGAAACACGCAGTTCAGAGCTGTCTGGTATCCCCCCAAATGACAGCACTGCTGCTGACTTGACCCGGACTGGACTGGACTGGAATGGATCTGGAATAGATTAGGCTGGGCTGGAAATGGGACGAGGAGGAAGTAAGAAAGATACAAAATGTTTTGTTTTTTCTGCCGTCCCTACTACCGTTGACTCGATATCGATATTCATGTCTCCTGTCGTGAGCGTGCGTCGGTCAATGTCCCTAGAATCTTTCCGGTACCTGGAAACCTACAATCCTGACCCTGTGTTCGTGCTCCGTGCTCGAATCCTGTGTGCTACGGTCTATGCGGTTCGGAAGATTGTCGAAAATCGAGAATCCGGGATGATATTTTGCACATACCGAGTAGACCCCGACCTGGTAGACACCTCAAGTGTAGATAACTAGTAGAGAGACTGGGTTTTGTCTCGCCATGAAGCTAATAGCTACCTAATCGGTTAGCTATGTAGGTGTCCTCTGAAAAACTGAAAGTAGCTCGGTATTGGTATTGGTAGAGTAGAGGTGGTGGTCCATCCGTCGACGAGAAAGCATCTGAGATACACACAGTAAAGAAAGGCAAGGCGGGCGTTGAACGAGCCGTCGTACTCCTTCCCATCATCGGATTGTTTGCTTGTTTGCATTGTGCATTGTGTATTGTGCATTGTGAAACACCAAAAACTCATCGCCTGGTACAATCGCGCAAGCTGCTGACTCCATCTCCATCAAACAACAGTAGCACATAACACTTGGACCATGCTCAACCACATCACCATCTCACAGACACATGAAGGATTCTAGGATCCCTTGGTGAAGTTCTGCCACATGCCGCCTAGAATGCCTGGTTGGCCGGGTTTCTGGTCGGCCCAGTTGGCCTTGCGTTCATCCTGGCTACTTCGCTTCTGCCCCGTGAGGCCAGCGAACTTTTCCGAGGCGGATGACTGTAAACCACACAAGAGATGACAGTTGTTAGTCAAACAGTCATGAGTCTTGAAGTAGCAGGCCCCTGACACGAAAGAAGGGTTGGGGATATCGTGAGGTACTCACCCGTCTTCGCCCTGCAGCGCCAGCGGAGGCTCCAGGACCTGTGGCTCCTGTGGTAGCTTTCGTCTCCTCCTTGGTCGGGCTACCAGCAGCGGAGCCCTGGGAAGACTGGCTATTGCTCCGTGGCTTGTAGTTGTACTGTTTGAAGAACATGATTCCTGGTGACGCTGGTCGAGGCCGAGACAGGGTTTCGGTGTATGTCACAGGAAGGTCGAGGAAAAATGAGTAGACTTTGTAGGACAGGACCCAATTCAAGTACTTGGGTGGGAAACCACAGTACTTATACCACTATTGAATGAATACTGGCCTCAGAAGGGTGAGCGTCGATCGATGCTGCGTGGATATGGTGACGTAGATGACACAGGTGGATGGATCGAAGAGATGAAGCTCAAAAAAGCGGAACCAGACGCAGCTGGTGGTGTGTAGATAGCTCACTGAGAAAGTCTTGAAGGATCTTGTGACTGTGGGCTGTTGGAAGTGTCAATGGTCAACACTGGACGGCTTGATCTGGTAGCTGTGTTGTTCGAGAGGAATGCAGAGCAGTCTGGATCCGAGAAGCCCGCAAGGTAATGGAGGGGTGTGGACGATCATTTATGTACTGGCTGGCCCTCTCATCGTCCTCTCTTCTACCCCTCGCCAGAATAGGAGCCCAGCATAAGCTTTGTCTCAGCCGATCGAACCACCTGAGCAGAAGGATGGAGTGAGAGGAGGGACGAATGGCGGCATGGCAAGTGTAGCCCTGGTTCAACTCGCGTGCCACGTTCCCAGCTTTGGCGTCCGTTAGGGATACGAACAGGACCTTGAGGAGGGCTAATAGGAGAGATATCAGGCCGAGTCTAGCTCGCAGGTAGATACCTAGAGGAGGTCTGGTCAGCATTTGTCCAGAGCAGTGATCCCTGGCATTTGTAGCAAACCTCTAGCCTGGAGAGCCAGTAACAAGGTTGATATCTCCCAATCAACGCAGTGGAATTGGAATCCGGGGCCTCGGTGGTGGATTGTACCCCGCGCCTCATGATGCAGCCAAGTGGATGTTGTCGACAAAGAGACATGGATGGTCAGCAGCCGTGATGGTCCGTGGTCTGTGGTCCGCAGCCCGGAGCCCCGTTGGTGCCGTGGTGCCCGCTTGAGGTCATAGTGTGAACCTATGAAGAAGTGAAGAGACAAAAAGGTACGAGTGAGAGAAAAGAACCGACGACCAACATATGCCACCTGGTTGGTCAGACAGAGGAATCCAAGACTACCAGCCTCGAGGGCCACACCACATGCACGCTTAGTATTTCACATGCTTCACAATCCTTTCGAGACAGAGCCAGTGGCTTTTTGGGGGTTATCAGCATAGACTCACATGTATCATAGGGAGAACAGCCTAGAAGTCTTCTAGCAACTAGGAAATAACAATACGGTCCCAATTCGGCCTTGCCTGAGGTGATAACAATGGATGCTTCCCTTCTCCCTGTCTCCTTGCCCCATAATCCATACTGGGTTTCAAACCAGGTAGGCTGTCACAACCCTCTCGTTTTCAAACAGTTGTTGCAATCTAGATCCCTGTCCCATGAGGCCTTTCACGCCTTTGCAATCTTGCAAATCAAATCCGATCCAGCAACCGAGTCCCCTTCTTTGACCAGAATCTCGCCAACTTTGCCAGAATGTGGAGCGCTGATAACCATCTCCATCTTCATGGCGCTCAGCACAGCAATCGGGTCGCCCTTCTTGATGTCGTGGCCTTCCTTGGCTCGAACTTCCACCACCACGCCTGACATGGGAGCCCCGACTTGGCTGCTGTCGCCCGGATCGGCTTTGGGCCGGCTGGTGTTCTCCACCGCAGCCTTGTTGTCGTCGATTGTCACTTGCCGAACTTCGCCATTCACCTCGTAGAACACTTCGCGTTGGCCGGTGGCTTCCGACAGAGGTCCCACAGCCAGCAACTTCATGATCAAAACCTTGCCCTTTTCGAGCTCCACGTGGAACTCCTCACCAATCTCTGGCTTGTTCAGGAAGTACTTGGTCGGGAGCACCGACAAATCGCCATACTTGTCCACGAATTTGCGATAGTCCTCAAAGACCTTGGGGTACATCACATAACTCGCCACATCCGTTTCCGCGGTGGTGTTGAATCTCTCCTTCAAGTCCTTCTTGACCTTGGCAAAGTCAATGGGCTCAAGGTACAGCCCTGGTCTCTTGTCCATCTTTCGGCGCCCACGGAGCACGTCGCTGCGCAGTGGCTCGGGGAATCCGCCGTATGGCTGACCCATGTATCCTTCAAAGAACTCCAACACGGATTCGGGGAAATCCAACTCCTTGGCTTTGGCCTTGACGCCCTCTTCATCCAACTTGTTGGACACCATGAATTGCGCGAGATCACCCACCACTTTGGAGGTGGGAGTGACTTTGACGATATCCCCCAAGAGATCGTTCGCCTGTTCGTAAGCCTTCTTCGTCTCGAGCCATTGCTCGCCTAGACCGAGTTGAGAGGCTTGGAAGATCAGGTTGGTGAGTTGTCCTCCTGGGATCTCATGTTCGTACACTTCGGGATCGGGGCCAGTCAAGCCAGCTTCGAACGGTGAGTAGAGCAATCTCAGCTGGGACCAATATTGGTCCAGTGCTCGCACGTTGTGACCATTTAGACCTGGGTCGTAGTCGGTGCCTTCAAGAGAAGCAAGGAGCGCTCCAACGCTTGGCTGAGACGTCATGCCTGACATAGAATCTGATGCCGTGTCCACAGCATCAGCGCCGGCCTCCGCGCAAGCGACGTAGGTTGCCACTCCAGTTCCCGCCGAGTCGTGGGTGTGGATATGGATCGGAAGATCGGGGTACTTCTTGCGGATAGAGCCAACAAGAAGACGAGCAGCCTTGGGCTTCAGAACGCCGGCCATGTCTTTGATGCCGAGAATGTGGGTTCCAATCTTGACAATCTTCTCGACAAGATTCATGTAATATTCCAAGTTATATTTCTTCTTGGGGTTCTGGTGAAAAAGTCAGTAAATGTACTGAGAAGCTCAATCAAAATAACTAAGGAAATCGTAGCAAGAACCAAAAAGAGCGCATCCAGGGGGACCGTGGGTTGCTTGTAAGTCTGAGACAAAAGCGGCCCGAGAGTTGCAACCGCTGCCATGTGTTGTCGTGCTGCAAGGCCAGCGCTCAAGCGTCACTGTTGATATCTTCCCGGTACAATCCGGTACTCAGACGAACGGGGGGTCGCGGATGCCATCTCCGGATGAAAAGGAGGACAACGAGCAAACATGGAAACAAGGCACACTTACAAGCACTATTGGATTGATTAGCATCGAGTCAGCAAGGGGGCAGATAGGAGTCACATACTGTCACCTGAATAGCAGATGGCGGCTTCCACAACACCACCGGCTTCCTGAACAGCCCTCATACCCACCTCCAATTGGTCGATGTCGTTGAGAGCATCAAACACTCTAAAGATATCCATTCCGTTCTTCTTCGCCTGCTTGCAGAAATGGTAAATGGCGTTGTCAGGGAGTGACTTGTAAGCAACACCGTTGGCTCCACGGAGCAACATCTGGAAGGGAATATTGGGAACCAGCTTTCTCATTTTGCGGAGTCGATCCCATGGATCCTCATACAAAAATCGCATAGCAACATCGAACGTGGCTCCACCCCAGCACTCCAATGCCCACGCGTTGCTGAGAGCATGGCTGGTATGTTTGGCGATGTTGCACAGGTCGACCGTGCGGACTCGTGTGGCCAACAGAGACTGATGCGCGTCACGCCAGGTAGTATCCATGATGAGACAGCCCTTGTTCGTTCGGACTGCCTTAGCGAATGCGGCAGGTCCTTCTTTGTCGATGATAGATTTCCACCCCTGCGTGCATGGCTCGTCCACATTGATCTCCTTGCCATGCTCATCAAATAGTGTAGGCATGATGATATCACCCTTGAATTTCGACTCGCCAATCTGGCCTTTGATGCTGCTTCCATTGACTGCAAGATCGCCGAGATACTGAAGGAGCTTCTGGGCCCGGTTCTGGCTGCCAATCAGTTTGAACAGCTCTGGAGTGTCGTCAATGAAGGTCGTCCAGCACGTTCCCTCAACAAAGGTTGGATGGGTCAAAAGCGAGGCCAAGAAGGGGATGTTGGTCTTCACACCGCGAATGCGAAATTCAACCAGCGCTCGTAGCATCTTTCGGCGCACGATCTCGTAGGTGGAGCCGTGGCAAGTACATTTCACCAACATGGAATCGTAGTGAGGAGTGATGATAGCACCAGCAAATCCATTGCCACCGTCAAGACGAACGCCGTTACCTCCTGCCGATCGGTACACCTCGATCTTGCCGGTATCGGGAGAGAATCCTTGGGAAGGATCTTCCGTGGTGATACGGCACTGGATGGCGAAGCCGCGCGTTGAGATTCGGTCCTGGGTCAAGCCTAGTTGCTCGAGAGAGGCACCAGCCGCGATTTGGATCTGAGCGGCGACAATATCGATGCCAGTAATCTCCTCGGTGATAGTGTGTTCGACTTGGATTCTGGGGTTGATTTCGATAAAGTAATATCTGTTCTGTTGGTCCACCAAGAACTCTGCTGTGCCTGCATTGCGATAGTTGACGGATTGAGCTAGTTTGACTGCATCATTGAGAATGGCATCCCGAACCTCGGACGGAAGATCTTTGGCAGGAGCTAGCTCCACGACTTTTTGGTGCCGTCTTTGAACACTGCAGTCTCGTTCGTACAGATGAACAACATTGCCGTGGTTGTCACCGAGCAGTTGAACTTCAATGTGCTTGGGCTTGTCCAAAAAGCGTTCGACAAAGACTGTACCGTTGCCAAAGGCAGACTTTGCCTCGGAGGTAGCTCGCTCAAATGAATCCTTTAGGCTTTCTTGGTCTCTGACGACTCTCATGCCACGGCCACCTCCACCGAAAGCAGCTTTGATGATGATGGGAAAACCATACTGGTCAGTGAATGCCTTGACCTCTTCAAACTTGGCGACTGGGCCTTCGGTTCCAGGTACGCAAGGTACGTTGCATTTCATGGCCAGTCGTCGAGCCGAGACTTTGTCACCGAGAGCATCAATGACCTGATAAGAGGGACCGACAAAGATGATGCCGGCCTCCTCGACCTTTCGCGCAAACTCGGCGTTCTCAGACAAGAAACCATAGCCTGGGTGAATCATCTGAACGCCGTGGGCGAGAGCGATCTTGATGATCTCGTCACCAGCCAGGTAGGCACCAACGGGGGTGTATTGTCCTCGCTTGCCGATCATGTATGCTTCGTCCGCCTTTTGTCTATGCATGCCCAGTCTGTCCTCATAGCTGTAGACAGCCACGGTCTGAAGGGAGAGTTCGTGGGCAGTTCGGAAGATTCTGATGGGAATCTCGCCTCGGTTGGCCACGAGAATCTTCTTGAGCTGCATAATGGACGAGTTCGCCCTCAGCCGCTGGTGGACCGAGTGCTCAAGGTGGTGTGATTGACCATCCTCGTGGTCTGCATCGGTGCCAGTGGTCGCCATGGTTGTAAGGCTAGGGGTGAAGCCTGGCTGCTGGCAAGGGCAGCTACTGGCAAATGAAGCTCCTTGGAGCTCGGAAGGAACAACAATAAGGGAGTAAGAGGGATTTGAGGACGGAGAAAATGTAGAGGGGAGGTCAAATAGTTGATGGAGGGGAGCTGGGGTAAATAGGTCCGGGAGCTCTAGCGAGGGTTTGTTGTTTTCTGTTGAATGATGAGGCGTGGAGCCGGATGACGGGAGAAAAAACAATAGCTGTTAATACGTCGATGCCCAGGTGGGAAAGATATGGTAGATTCAACCACTGAATGAGGATTGGATGAGCTCTGGTTTGGCAGCACCAAGGGAGAGGATGGTGGGTAGATAAGCAGGTGAAGGGATTGGTGGGATGAAGGTGTATATATTGGGAGTGGGGGGTTGATTGGGAACAAGCCCAGCCGCAGCTTCTTTTTGTTCTTTTTTCCTTCTGCTACGGGCGTTCTTGGTGCCTGCCAACTTAATTGATATTTCACTTGCAAGAGCTCCGGAGGGGCAGCAGGAAGTGGTGAGCTCCCCGAACAGCCTCGGATTCAAATGGGTAATGGAGGGGCGGGGAGGGCAGCCACGGTGTAGATTCGGATCCCAAGAGAACCGATGCTGGCCGATAGGCGTGCTAGGGGTGCCCGGGGGGATTTTCTAGGCTAGGTGGCTAGTAACGGTACCTGGGTTGCTACTTAGGTACCTTTTGGGGGCACCCTCGGGGCAACTTCTTGACTAGGATGCCTGCTGTAGTTGGTCCGTGACGTTGAATTGTCGTGGCCTTCCTGGTCGATCATGTGGGGTCAAGTCCGACTTTACTCATTCTTGCCATTCTCTGGTGCTCGGACATCTTTCCCCGGAATTACCGAGCCCTCCAGGTATACCACTACTGGATGCTATGTGCCTCGTACAGTACGAGGCACTCGGCAGATGCCTGGATTTACTCAATAAAAGTATCTCCCAAAGGGCTACATGTCTTCGAATTCCATCACAAACACCACCGCATCACGCGCTGCAGATAAAGCTTTACTGAGTCACCCACCCACTCGAGCCTTACTCTCCCCACACTGCAGGTTCCTGTGGGTGGATAGCCACTAAAGGAGCACGAGGGGCGGAAGACAAATATCGATAGAAAATGAAAAGTCCATGATTGGAGTTAGTCATGGCTGCGGCTCTCGCTTATCTTCTCCTTCCCGTCGTCAAACAGAATCCCATTGAAATTTTACTCCCCCTATGGCCCCCCCAGGAACAATCTCCGGTAACAGAAGTCATGCCGCTTTCCGGTTCCCACGGAATATCGGAAAAATAGTAGTCCTGGATGACCCTCTACCTCACTGAGCTAACATCATACAACAGAGAGAACCATAGCCTTGAACAAAAACATGTTCAGTACCTTTTCCCCGGCAAGCTCTCGCATTATTTTGATTCTTTCGTCTTTCGTCTTTCTCTCCTTCAAGAAATCCTTCCTGTCCGGAATTCCTCACAGTTTCGTGGGGTTCCGGTTTCTCCCTGACCTCGGGTGTCCACCACGACTCATCCGCGGTCCCTGTCCTCTTCGTCGCACCCATCTGACCCGGCTATTCCCGGATTTTGGTCCTCTCCCGCACCTTCACCTCACAAGGCTGCGTCGCTAGAATGCCCGAGGGAACCCGGTTGGCTGCGGCGTGATGCCATTAGTGTGGCCATACCCAGTAGGTTGCGGTGCAACGGTCGCGGGCCCTTGCGTCAGCATGAGACGAGTGCCGATGATCGGTGTATTGTCGTCCGTCTTCTGCTGGCTGGCTTCCCGGGCCTTGCGTTCTTCATTGTCTTTCCGCAACTGCTCAATGGTCGCCGCCTGTTGGCTCATGTAGCTAATCATAAATGGCATAGTGAAATCGTTGAGTCCATGCCGCCATGAGATCTCCATCACTGTGTGGAGTGGGATCAGATCATAACACGCGTATAGCATACCCACGTAACACTCGCGGCTGCCAATATCGACAAACTAGGACAATGTCAGTAAATTGCGCTCTCACTCAAAAATGCTTATACTCACGTATCTCAAAAGGTCTTCGACAACCTCGGGCTTGCCAGAAATCGCTGCTGTCTCGATCGCATCGCGGAATAGTTTGTCTTGCTTGGACAGTGCAATTGATTTCTCCCATCGCTTGTTCTTGCGGTAGATTTGCGCTGCAATCTGTCGGAAGAAGACCAAGTCGTGCTTCTCAAGGCGTTGGGCAAGCTCCACCGCGTCATAGTTGTCATAATTCTCGACCGAGTCTTTCAAGGTCTTGTAGTCCTCTTCCTCGATGAGAAGATCATGGATAGCATTGTTGACGACGCGCTTGTTTTGGCCTTGTACATTGAGCAAGAAGGGTTTGATAATGGGGATGTTATCCGACTTCTCAAACATACGCACCACTCGGTTGACGTCGATGCGTGGTGTCAGAGCTTGGAGCAGGTCGGTCAACAACAGCGGCTGCTCCTGCAGGTAATGATTCAGCGCGCGGTAGTAGATCTCCAGATTGGCCACTTTGACAATGATGTCCTTGAAAGAGTGGTGCTCCCAGGCGTCGGCAGCACGTTCCATCATGGCCAATGCAGCGTTGTCCCATTCGTCATAGTGGCAGTACAAGAAGATCAGCTCGGGCCAAAGATGCGCCTCTTCGCAGGCTCGAATCATCTTGGGGATATTGATGCGAGACCAGAAGAGCTTGAGATGTTCCATCACCCGATCGGGATGATACTTCGACAGAGCGATACCAAGCTCAGTAAACATACCCATATGTGCCCGTTCAAGGCCAAGGCCGGCTTCCAACAAGGAAATGAGCTCTTCAAAGTAGCCTTCGCGCTCGTATTGTTTGACAAGATCTTGCAGTTCTTCCGCATGGACAATGAGATTCAAACCACAGATCTGTGCAAGACGGAATTCCTTCTTGGCAACGCATGCCTCGTTCACTTGTTTCCATACCTTCACACTGTTCGCGCGTCGGGCGCAATCAACCGCATTTTGGTATTCGCCCAAGTGCACAAGGGTGGTGGCGAGTTTTGCCCAGTTGGAAACGCTGGTAAAGAAGATCTTCGCGGCTTGGTGGTAGCCCTCTTCATACGCCTTGTCTCCAGAAGCCTCTACATCAGCCACATTGGCAGAGCGCAAAAAGTCTTCAAGCTCCGGTAGCTGGTCGAGTCGAGCATAGCAAAATGCCAGCGCAGTATCGATGGCCGGCTCACGCATGGTCTTGCGCGCCATTTTCAGATATTTGACGAGATCTTCATCTTTGCCGGCATGAGTGGCTGTCTCGATGACTTCGTTGTAATTGCTAGGGTCTTGAGCTTTGATGTATGATTCGATGGCATCGGAGACTCTCAATCCATCGAGTTCGGCCTTTGCAACCTTGCTCCAGACCTCAGGCAAATCAACCTTTTCAGCATATTCTTGGGCACGATCAATGCTGACGATGTGATCGACAAGAACATTGGCCGCGGAGATGTGGTCATTGGTCTTGACGTATATCTCCAAAGCTTCCTCATAGAGACCTTGCTGGATACACATGTTGGCAATTTCTTCCGTGTTGAACTCATTCAGGCGCTGGATGTAGTCCATGAGGCGGCTCTTGTCCGCTTTAGCAGCAGTGAGCATCAGTAAGTTCTGTAGACTACTGTTCTCGCTGAAAGGTGACGGCTCAAGGATGATCTTCTCGAGTAATTCAATGAGTTCGGCTGGCAGGTCGGCATCCAAGAAGGCTTTGACAGCAACAGATACCTTGTCGGGTTCAGAGCTCTCTGGGACTGCTGTCGCGATAACCTGGTCGATGAGAGATCTCCGGTGGGTGTTGTTCTGGGCCAGCACGAAACCCCAGACTTCAGGATCGGCACGCTCCAGAAGATAACGTGCTTGTGCTCGGAACATGGAGTTTTCGTTGGTGATGTTGATGAGCTCAATATCATTCTGGCCCTTGCGATACGCGATATATGCAAGGTTGGGATCTCGTTTCTCACAGTATTTACCCACTATCAGAGTGTCGTACAAGTCATTCTCCTTCAGGAATTTCTCGGGATTATTGTTGCTATCTATTTTCAATGAGTTAGCAAGGATATCAATGAAACCGAAGTGTGCTAATTCTGAAAGAACCAAGGAGATCTACAACACCAAGGCATGAATATTGGCCACTTTTGGCCATGTAGATGCTTTTCCGCGCGCCTGTGCCCTTCGAGGGGGATGTTCGGCAATCCAACAGTAGGAAGGGCAGGATAGAAAACAGAACATATACTGACCAATGTAAATCTTCGCTAGCGCGTTATAAAGCGCCGGTTGCTGGATCCCTGCTGCCAGTGTGGATTCAAGGAAAGGGAGCAGAATCTTGAGACGATTCTGAGTCTCGACTTCATTGACCAACTCGTCGATAGGGACAGCCGAAGGATCGACTGATGCCAACAGGTTCTTGATGACTGATTCTTCACAATCTAGAGCAAGCAATGCTCCGACAACTGCTGGTGTTCGTGCAGGATTGACTCGTTGAACGTACACTTCGATGGATTTGTATTGCTGATTCCGGTAGAGATAGTTGACCAGATCTTTGACAAAGTTGAAACGATCACAGACAATGATCAAGGGAAGCTGCTCGGCCAGACGAGCTTCGATGAGGAAGTTCTTGACACGTTCGGGGTTATAGTGATTGTTCTCGCGACAGATTCTCTCGACTTCCTGGAATTGTCCCATAGTAACAGCCGCCTCGAGGTACTTGAAAACCACTTCTCCATCATCGCTGAGATTGACAATGCTGCCAAGGTAATAGTAGAGACCTTCTGCGGTGCGATGCTTTTCGAATAGTGCAATCAAGCGACTGGGTCCCAGGAGGTCAGAGAACTTAGTGGCGATCTGGATCACAGCAGCCAAGTTCTGCCGAATGTTGACCTTGAGCATCTCATCCATGGAATCCAGCGACTGCTCGACAGACATGCGGCCAAAGTACTGTTGAAGCCATTCAGGGTTGAGCTTGTCGGTCTGAACAATGATTCGCTTGATAGAAGCCGGATCTTCTGTATTTTCAAGGGCACGTTGCAAAAGACCAGCCTGTTCGCAAAGTCGTGCAATTCTGGGTTTATCGTAGTAGGAAAACATCTCGTTCCCAAGAATGGCATCTGCAACTTGTGGTGCGTTCAGGAGATTCATTTCCAAGAGTCGAGTCTGCAAGTGGCCTTGTTCGGGACGGTTTTCCTTGAGTGCATCGAGCAGGAATGCAGTTGCTTGCTGGACCATATTCTGAGACATGAAAATATCGACAACTCTGTCAATATCCACCAATGGACCACCCTCGTTATTGGCGAGCTGAGTAGCGAACTCAGCGCCTTTCTCGGGGTTTGCGCGAACAATGTGTTGCAGCAAGCTGGTGAAGTCTGGCTGATATCCAACCTCGCGCGCATAGGGAAGAATTTCCTCAAAACGGCCAGTTTCCGCCAACGCTGCGACAACTTTTGGTGGAACATTTGACTCGCGGTAGATCTTCAGTGCAAGTTCAAGATCGTGTAAGCGGACAATATCACCAAGCTCTTCAGACGACTCTAATTTGCCTTCACTCATCCACTTGTCAAGGAGGTTCTTACGATTTTGTGCAAGAACCGGCTTTATCAGCTCTACACTCTCGTATTTGTTCAGTTTGCCCTTGTCGAGGAGTTTGCCGAAATACTGCAGAATGACAGAAAGTTGACCAGCTTGTTGAGGTGCGCTCTTGAATCGGTTGATCGTCTCCGGTGTCCTCAAAAATCCTCGTGGAGAGTTCGCGGCGACTTCGGCAGCCTCTGAGTAGTTACCCTGAGCAAAGAGGGTTTCAAACTGCTGTTGATAGAGGTTGTCGGCACCTGGCAGGCCGGCTCTGGCAGCCAATTTCACAGCCAGGGTGGCATTGGCAGGGTTTTGGAGCAGGTAGGGGATGATCGTGTTCTCATCAACACTGACTGAGAGGACCTGGCCTTTTCGGTTGATTCCGACAATACCGGCGGACTCAGAGTCGGGCGTCGTGATGAAGATTGTCTCGCTAGAAATACGATTCATGAAGATGCAGGTGGCTGTTTCGAGATCATATAGGTGAATGAAGCCGTACTTGGTGATCATGTAGATTATGCTGTACTTTTTGGAGATTTGCATGGCAACAGGGAAGTCATTGACAGCCTCGTCGGGGAAGTAGACATCGACTGCCTTCTTGACCCACCGTGCATTGTTCTCGTTATGATCAATCTCCACAACATGAAGCTTTCCTTGACCGGCGGCATTTCGAACCGCAAACGTGAAAAGTTTGTAAGGAGCAGGATTGCCCTCTGCATGGAACGTGCCGAAGGCAGCAGCATGACCCTCGATAGGTTGTGATATTCCACGATTACGCGAGTACAGCTGCATCGTACCAGCGACTCGTCCCTCCTTTTGAGAAATACCAACTATCACCATCCATTGTTCATCATCATTGACGCGATAATTGATGATTTGGCATCCATTTAGGTTGGCATTTCGCTCAAACATCTTCACTGGGGCGGACTGGGTAGGGTCGAACACGTCCCAGTGGTAGACGGAGGTGTCGGTAACCAATCCCAGACTGCGTTCGTTGTACCACTTCCAGAAGACAACATCCTCATTCATGATTGTAGATTTCAGCTTGGATTTGGCTGCGAGGTCGAAGACTTGAATTGTTCTCCCCTGCGCCTTGAGGGCCAGGATCTCGCGACTGAAGTGCATGATGGCGCTGTCAGCGCTGATAGCGCGTTTGATGACTTCATTGTTGTTCTTGAGGTTTACAATTATGACTTGAGGTTTGTCCTGCTCATTAAGTTTCTGCCGTACGCAGACGTAGTGATCGGATTCTAGTGTCTGGGAAGAGGTGTCAGTGGCCGGGTTCGGTTGGAAGTGCCGGACGTGTACTCACACAGGTGTTGAAGGAAATAGAGGCTGGCTGAGAGGGAGGAAACGTGTTAGTAGAAATTCCAGAAGTAAAGGAGAGAATCGATCACGTCGCGCGTATGCCGGCATTCACGTCGAACTGCGCCTGCGATTCAGGGAGCGTGCCCTTACCGCGATATCAAGATTCGTCAACTGTGAAAAGTCAGCCAGGAATTAAAACAGCCGCGAGTGCCATCAACAGACCTGAACCAGTTCAGTGAACCGAATGGGAAGCGCCATGATTGCGACCGGCCTCCTTGCGGCCTCATGCACTTGGAGAAAAAGTAATTGATCGCTCGCTGGACGGCCGACAAAGTGACTGCAAAATCCACGAACTCAAAGGAGTGTAGAAAGAATAGGAGAGGGACGGTAGCAGGAACAAGACCACGATAAATGTGACGTGGGGGTGTGGAAGAAGGGAACTGAAGGACAATCGATTCAATTGTTGATGAGCTCCTGGAAAGTAGAGACACCTTTTGAGAAAGTGAGCGGATCTTCTGGAGTTACAAGCCAGAAACAGGAAGGTCCGTTCTGGTGGCTTGGGCCTGTTATTGATTCGCCAAACGGTAGGGTGCCTGTCAGCGGCCCAGCATGCAACCTTGGGGACAGTCTTTGTCACGTGGAAATGCCTAATTGTGAAGCTTGGTGGCTTGTTAGGGTGCTAAGACACATGGCGCATGCCCATGCACGCCCATGGAACTGCTTTCGTCATTACCTGGACTTACTATTTACTATCAATTATTTCCCAGAGCTCTGGCCTCTCGTCTGTTGCAGCGTCAGTCTCAGATCAGATCTCATTTTGTCCCCCCCGGCTCGTTCCAAGGAATGATCGCGCGTAGACTGAACACTTCTCTGAGCAGACATCCATTGTCTCCGCTTGGTTTTCGATACACAGGAGCCTCTGTACGCCACTATTCCGCACCATCATCACCTCCTCCACCACCGACTTCTACTACCAGACCCGTGTCAAAGCAAAGTGTGGCGAGCACACACCGGCCAGGGGGCCAGGGTGACAGACTGCGATTTTTCCCTTTCCTCATTTTATTCCTTCTCAGCAGTGGTTCCTACGTTCTGTTGGTCAAGAAGCGCACAGAGTCTCAGACGAACGTTACCAGCGAGTTTCGACGGAAAGCACACAGCGAACGGTAGTGACAGAAGAGCTGCTTTCCAATGGCGACGCCTGCAATAGATCCCACGTCGGGGACATCTCCTCTTGCCCAGCCAGAAGCTCCACTCGCCTCAACGAACATCTCCCCAGCTTTCGATCCACAAAAGGTTACCGTTGTATATGTACTGGGAGGTCCTGGTTCCGGGAAGGGTACACAATCCGCAAACCTGGTTCGAGATTTCGGTTTTGTACATCTCTCCGCAGGCGACTTATTGAGAGAAGAGCAGAACACCGAGGGTAGCGAATACGGCCAACTGATCAAAGATTATATCAAAGAGGGCTTAATTGTGCCAATGGAGATCACAGTCAAGCTACTGGAAAATGCCATGCGATCAAAACTAGGGAGCGACGGGACCGGGAAATTCTTGATTGATGGATTTCCTAGAAAAATGGACCAAGCCATCTTTTTCGAAGAGTCAGTCTGTCCCTCAAAGTGCACACTGTTTCTCGACTGCCCCGAAGAGGTCATGAGAGAACGTTTATTGAACAGAGGAAAGACGAGTGGACGGGCAGATGACAACGAGGAAAGCATAATCAAGAGATTCCGGACATTTGTTGAAACGAGCATGCCGGTGGTGGACATGTTTGAGAAGGAGGGCAGAGTCGTTAAAGTCTCGTCAGTTGGGTTGGTCAAGGATGTCTACGAGAATGTGGTCAAGGGGCTAGGAAAGATGGGCATACAGCCTTCGAAATGAGAAGCTCCAGACTTTTCAGCTTGCACTTGTGGCGTGCTATTGATTCCTACAGAGCAAGCTGGGCTGGGCTGGTGAAAGTAGGTCATTCGTATGGTATCAGCAACAATGTCCTGGCTTGGTGCACGATATAACCTTACAGCGGCTGAGCTACATGCCTCTGATCACCTCAATTATCAATCTTCATCACTGCTGCTACTATTACTCTCGCTCTCTCCTTGCTCATCGAATCCCCCGAATTCGTCAGCCTCTTCTCCAAATCCATCCTCATCGTCCTTAGGAGGCAGCATGACAAAGGCCTTCAAGCAGGTGATTCTGTTGCCGGTTTCGTACGCTCCGATTATCGTTCCGGCGTGGACCGGCTTCTTACTCTTCAAGGCGGCTAATACATCAGATAGCGGCAAGAGCATAATGCGGACTGTACCGTCGCTGCTCGCTGCAACGATGGCCGTGGCTTTTTGGCCGTTGGCTTCAGTGTGCAGGAATAGGAGCTCAAAGTCCTTGATCCGCGTCGTGAATCCTGCGGATCTACCGCCAATGGTCGCCACAAGAGTGGCCTCCGGAAGGGATACTGAGGCAGTCTGGTCACTGCTATTTGTTTCATTCGATGAATGAGGGGAGATTGCGTCGGTATCATAGAAGAGTATCCGGCCATCTTCGGTCGAAAGAACGAGAAGGGTAGTGGCGTCCTCTTCGTCCGAGTTCGGTGGGATGCTTTGATAGTGAATCTGATGTAGCTTGGTGAGCGGCTCTGGCAGAACCCTGCATTTAGGTTTCGAGTCTGCCCCAAACACGACCGCTCCGCGTTCGAAGGCGACGGCAAACTCGGCACCATTAGGATTCCACCGTATCCGTCTGCCCTCGCCGCTGCTGTACTTACCCTCTCGCACACTTTGTAAGATGTCGCGACCAAAATTGAGAACACCGGCCTTCTTTCCCGTCACCAAGTTCCATAACCTCATACATCTCTCGCCTCGACCGACGCTCAACATGAGCTTCAAGCTAGGGTGCACAGAGAAGTCATTAATTCCCGCGGGCGTGGCACCTGGTGGTGCTGTGTCTCCACTGGGCTGACCTTGCGCTTTGGGTCGTGGTGCTTTTATTGTCGATACCACAGTTAAGTCTTTCAAACGGGTAACTGCTATGGTGTTGTCTTCTGACCCGGAGAGTAGTTTTGAGCGCGTGGGGAAATGCAGGGCCGTGATATGAGAGGAGTGATGAAGGAGAGTGCCGAGCTCTCTATTTCTGGGATTTTCAGAGATGATGTTCTTACCCAGAGAGGGCATGGGTGGCAGTCTCTCATTGTCGCTGACTGGTGAGGCGGAAAGGCTGAAGACATTGACCTTCTCATCTGAGCCGCCTGTGGCAAGATACACGCCATGTGTTTCAGAAGTACCGGGCTCCGGCAAAGGTGATAGTGCTAGACATTTGATGGCAGACGCATGTGCATTGAACAAGAAGGTATCGGCAAATTGTACCGACAGCGGAGATGCTGGTGACGAAGGGTTCGATATGGTTGCAGTAATGCCATGTAGAGCCCGTTCATATGAGCCCACAACGATTTGAATGACTGGTAAAGTGGTCTTCACGTCCACATGGCCGTTGGTTTTGGTGATCTTCGCAGCAGTGTTCTCTTCACTCGTAGGTTTGACGCTTTCGGAGGGAGTCTTGGTGGCCTTAGAGCCGTTTTCTCTTTTTCTTTTGCCCATAGGAGGAACTTTTAGTGGAATAATTCGTCAAATTTGTAAATTTGGAGAAGTACGATGTAGGGGACTTGAAAGATGGGAGTGGCTTGACCAGCACTGCACAAGATCGTGGAACGAGATTCGGATTCCAGGAACAGAGTATGGTCGTTCTAATAAAGATCTCTGCATGGAAGGTAACGAGATCTACAGTAGATTGCTAGAATGGCTTGAGTCTGCGAAAGTTGTGGTGCAATAAAGACTGACCATAAGAAGTTGAAAGGGAAAATTTACTAGCGTCGTGTTAGGAGTGGCTGCGCCCCCAAAATCTCTGGAGCAGATTGTCAGTGTGGTGGTGATGGTGATTGATGGCGTTGGGAGTCTCCCCCCTCCTGCCCTTGCCTGCCCGAAGAAGAATCCCAGGAGGTGGAATAGGCTGCTGTCCCTCCCTCCGTGCACTCCCCCCGCCCGAGCAAGCCTAACAAATTACCCTGATTCTCGTAACTGCTACGCCCTGTGCCTCCAACTCTGCACAGAACACCAAAATCCAGAGGCCACCTCCTCTACACGTCTACCAACTTCAAGAGGCTCAAATCATCACAACGCGCCCAAACAATTCATTCTGGGCTCTTTATTCATCTCTGTACACTTGATTTCGCATCCTGTCGAATTTTCAGCAATTGATTCGGATGGTTTCTCGTCCTTCTCGTCGACCTCGCCGATGCCGATGAAATGCCCGTCGAGCACTTGCGCTCGAAGAAGTCTCAAGCACAGTGAGCAATATTCCTCACAACCCTCAAAGACGCTCATAATCTCTCCCGCAGTCTACTGACTGAATATCATGAATTATAGGAGCCTGGTGCTGTCAAGAAAGCGCAAATTAAGCGAACTCTTCTCTATCGTTGTCTCCGTCGAAGACCCAACCTACAAGCAGAAACTCCAGGCCTTTCATGATGCAAATGACCTAGAAAAGTACGCATCTCCCGTCGCTCGCTTCTTTCTACCACTGTTGCAGTTTTCATGAATTATGAGGCTCGGTTGGCTTAGTTGTGCTCACTCTTCCACAGAGGGCGTCGCTTCGACGAAACAACAATCCCACCTAGAATCCATATAACTCTTCCACCTCGAAAACATGAGCCTGCGCAACCGCGTGCAGTACCTCCGTCGCCCTCTCTTGGGGCACAGCAATCATTAGATGCATCAAACACCACTCCGCCGTCACCTCCAGGGTCCAAAGCCGCTCCTAAACCGATTCCACCAGAACAGCCCGCGACTGGGCAGAAGTCGCATGACAAAAACAAAGGCAATGAAGGCATCGAGGTTACAGTCGACGAAAGGGGTGGGACAGATCTCCAGGGGTCCACTGCAGTAGCAGTTAACGCGCAGAAAGACGAGGCCAGCACGCTCCCCAATCTTCCCATCCCCGACGGTGAATTGAAGTCCCCAGTACCTCAGTCTGTCAAGGGGCCTCCTCTTGGACAAACATCTAACGCCGAGTCTGAGCCTCCGAGCACGCTGACAGTTGTTACTGGACTATCGGAAGATACAGAACCCCGCTCATCCATTGCCGTCGACCGTCAACTCAGTCGAAGTCCTCTTCTCGTTCCGATCCCAGCAGCTGCCGAACCACAATCCTCGCCAGCTTCCACCAATGGGCCAGACTCGTCTAACACCCCTGCGCCGACAGCTGGATCGCCGGGAACGAGTCCTGGTATTGATGTACCACTTGTTACATCCGAGATTGCTCACGAGGGAAAGCCTTCGGATGCTGAGCATGCTGGCTTGGAACGGTCACCTCCCTCGCCGGAAGCTAAGAACCCGCACGGCACAAGTGGAAGTCATGCTCCCTCTGCTGATGTCGAAACGACCGGAATGGTCAACGCGGGATCCATGAATTCAACTTCTGATGTTCATAGTAAGCTTCCTGCAGAGGTATTAGCTGCATCACAGACCCAGCGACCCATGATGCGGATAGACACTCAAGCAGAGAACGACGCATATTCCAAAGCACGGCCTGGGAGTGGATTTGTCGAAAGTCCAGCCCCAATAACGGGTACAACTCCTAAGAAGAATGTGCCCGCGACGCCGTCATCTCAGGAGCCTGCGAAACGGGCAACGAGGATCTCATCTGGTGTGTTGCAGAAGAAATCTGTATCGGAAATTCTTGGTGAAATGCCGAAGACCTCAACCCCCCCGGCAGAATCCCCATCGTCGGTGATCCACCGCGATGCACATGGTGGCACAACTTCTCAGGGTCGACTAAACGAACGCGACCGTCGTGACAAGGAACGCAGTCGGCTATCAACAGTGGTTTTTGCAAAGCCTCAAAAACCTGCGTTCGATGAGGAGAATCTTGAGTTGACGCGCATCGGCGATGGTGAAGCCCAGCGAAGAACAGGGCCTGGCGAGAGGGATTACCTCTATACTTTGTTCGAGAACAAGGCACACTCGATGTCTCGACAGACCACGATGTCCTACCTCATCCAAAATGCCCACAAGACACTGTCAACTTCGGATCATTTAATTGAGTACGAGTTATCTGCGGAATGTCGGATATTGAAACGACTCTACCAACTCCAAGAGAAGCAACGCTGGCCTCTCAGGCAGTATAAGCGTGCTGATGAAGCAGCTAGACCAACCTCTCATTGGGATTTTCTGCTTGATCATATGAAGTGGATGCGCACCGACTTCAGGGAAGAGCGAAAGTGGAAGCTCGCAGCTGCCAGAGGGCTCGCAGAATGCTGTGCAGAATGGGTCACGAGCTCCCCTGAAGACAGAAAACGTCTACAAGTGCGCGTTCGACCACCAAAGCATCTGCCCGGAAGTACTGAGTCTGAGGACGTGGCTATGGAAGACGGTTCTGGACCGATCCTTTCTTCGCACCCCACGCCCGAGCTGGTGCCCTCCAACGAGGACGATTCCGTGAGCGATGATATTGCAGACCCGCGAGAGGTGCAAATGTCCAGTGCTCCGGCCGCGATATTCTCTTTGGGTGCTTCTGACTTCAGTTTTGCCGTTGACAAAACTCCCGCTCTTGACAAGCTTCTGAACGAGCTACCCCTCTACGAGCCATCCATTGTCAACCTGGATCATTCTATATCTAACTTAGGAGAACGGCTCGACGCGAAATGGAAAACAGATATTGTTCCTGTTTCGAGGTGGGCCACCGAGAAGCTCTCAGTCAAGGAGTATAGGCCTCCAATGAAACGCAGCCGGTACGATTACGAGCCTGACCCTTCACCGAAGAAGAAGACAGAGCCGCTTCCACCGGAGGAGACCAACGTTGCGTTGTTCATGCCTGAGAACAAAGCAATCCGAGAC